GGTTGTTGTTGTTACCGTTCAGCTTCCAGCAGTCTTGAATCATGTGCCCAGTCTTCTTGCAGTACTTGCAGAAGAGTCTTTTCTTGTCCGGTGGCGCTTGAGCGTAAAAGACAATCTTCTCCTTCTTGTTACCTCGTTCGTTGTACAGGTCGATTTCCTTCTGCTCGGAGAGAAGCGTGGAGCAGAGGGAAGTTTCGCTGAGAGTACCTTGTGTGCGAAGGAGGGACTTACATTGGCGCCATTCCGGGCTCAATCCAGCAAGGATGATGGTGACGAACATGTCGTCAGGGAAGTTGCCGCCGCTTTTCCTGAATTGATCTCTCAGATTTCTGCAGCGGTTGATGTACGGTCCGGCCTTTTCGCCGGGAAACATCTTGACGTTGTTCAGCTGGTTGAGCAGGCGACTGAGTGTCACCGAATCTGTTGCCATGTGGCAGGTGCGCAGGTGTCCCCAGGACTGTTGCGCGGGCGCCCACTCGTTTTTGAAGGGGCGAATGCTCAGCTGTTCTTCGGGCGACAGGTTCCGGATCAGGACGGTGAAAGTCAGAATGTTATCTTATGCTCTAGCCTGTAGTGGGGTGCTCTATAGCGAGTACAACCCTTCTAGGGTTTGCTATTTGTATCCTCATTCTTGCTAGTGCAATCCTCTTCTTCTCTTCTTTTCTTCTAAACTTTAACATGCTATCAGAGCAGGTCGATCCCCTTGGATCGATCCTGTGGGTGGGCTCACCACCTTGTTGCTTCCGCTGCAACTGCTACTGCTACTCTCTGTGCCGCACGCTTCGTGGCGTGCGGCAGTTTTTCTTCCCGCCGTGCGCCCCGAGGCGCGCGGCGGTTTTCTGCCCGCCGTGCGCCCCGAGGCGCGCGGCGGTTTTCTGCCCGCCGTGCGCCCCGAGGCGCGCGGCGGTTTCCTGCCCGCCGCGCGCCCCGAGGCGCGCGGCGGGTCGCGCGACCCCTACAGCCCCGTCGCGCCGCCCAGGGGAGCCGCGCGCGACCCCTGCAGCCCCGTCGCGCGGCCCAGGGGAGCCGCGCGCGGCCCCTGCAGCCCCGTCGCGCCGCCCAGGGGAGCCGCGCGCGGCCCCTGCAGCCCCGTCGCGCCGCCCAGGGGAGCCGCGCGCGGCCCCTGCTGCCCCGTCGCGCGGCCCTGCTGCCCCGTCGCGCTGCCCAGGGGAGCCGTGCGCGGCCCCTGCTGCCCCGCCCCGTCCCCGACCTGCCCCGGCCCCGACCTGCCCCGGCCCAACTCCCGTCGCCCGTCGCGGCGCCCTGGGGGGGGCCGCAAGCGGCCCCCCCCCAGGGTCGCCTCGACAGGCGACGGGAGGGGAGTCTACCGGGGGCCGCGCGTTGCCCCCCCCCCCCCCCCCCACCTCCCTACCCTGTTTTTAGGGTTTGGGGGGTAGTGGTTGGGGGGTGGCGGTTGGGGGGTGGCGGTTGGGGGGTGGCAGGTGTGTGGCGTCGCCTGCTCCTCCTCCTCCTCCGTCTCCCTGTGCTGCAGCTGCCGCTGAGGGGGGGTGGACGTGTTGGAGCCGGTGGAGTGGTACTAAGGGGGGGTGAAGGGGGAGTGGAGCTAGCGGTGTAGCAGCGGGTGTGTGCCAGGGGGGAGTGGGATAGTTTGGGGAAGCTGAATGGAGGTTGCCGTCGTGTCGCCAGCAGCACCTGTATTCCGGGGACTTCGTCCGGTAGCCCAGTCGTAGCCAGCTGTGCCAGCCGCCCGTCGGTCCGTTGCTCGTCTGCCGCTACTTTAGCCGCGGGGCCTGTTACTCCTGTATTCCGGGGACTTCGTCCGGTAGCCGCTGTGCCAGTCTGCCTCCTGTTGCCTGTGTGTCTGCAGCTTCAGCCGTCGCCTCCTATCTCCTCTCCTCTCACTCTCTCTCCTCCTCCTCACTTGCCCGTTGTGACTACCACTAGCTTTGCTCATAATTGTGAACTTAAACTATTGCTTCTTTAACTTGTGCTCAGAATGTGTGGTGACATTGTGATCCACCCTGAGCTTGTACTCCCTTGCTTACTCTGCTGATTACACCCCACTTTGGCTATGGGGGTGTGTCAGAATGTTATCTTATGCTCTAGCCTGTAGTGGAGTGCTCTATAGCGAGTACAACCCTTCTAGGGTTTGCTATTTGTATCCTCATTCTTGCTAGTGCAATCCTCTTCTTCTCTTCTTTTCTTCTAAACTTTAACAGTGAAGGCCAGGAGTGATTCGTTGTAGTATTGCGTCTTCTCCTGAGGTGAGCCGTTTGTTGGAAAAGGATATGATCCGTCGTAGTACATCCAGATCTGAGCGCCCTGAGCTAGTAGCTCGAATTCGAAGCTCCACGTGTAGAAATCTTGTCCGTCGAAGGGCTTGGTAGTTCTGAGCTTCGACGTGGAGAGGAACTTGCTCTGCATTGAAGCCATTGCCTCGTAATGTGTTTGTTGTGCTTGAGCAGATCCTTGAGCTCCGCGGTTGTCGAAGGTGAAGGATCGCTCAGATCCAGCTCCTTGAGGATCGGGAGGTCTTCGGGCGTAACTTGAGCCGTCAATGCTCATTGGCTTATGGCTCTCCAGTGCGCTGATGCGGGTAATCAGTTGCTCGAGCAGAGTTGTGTCCATGGTCGTCGTAGTAGAGGCGACATTGGTGGAGGGTTGTACTGAGTTTTCTCCAGCTTCTCCGCAGTCTGCGCCTGGCATGCTGATGCCCTTTGATGTCGTTGTTCTTGAGATTTAAGTTATAAAGAAGCTTTTGTTGGAAGCCCTTTTTAGCAGATCCTATAATCCAAACTAGCTCTCATACCATGTTAGAGGAAGGATCTTGGATAGGATAGGAAGTGCTTTGGTAGAGTTGGTAGCGGAAGTCTTGTAAGAACTCAGATCATAGTGAATGTAAATGACCAAGTTGATTAAAAGATAGAATACAAGGAATATAAATAGTCCTAGTCTAGCCATGTACTCTAAGGGGTACATTCCCTTATTATAACTGTTTTACAGGCATTTCTACAGTGATACAGTGACTCTGACTGTTGTACTGCCTTTCTTGTTACCGAGTCGCTGCATGTAACCTGTACGGTTACGCCTGTTGCCATTCCTCGATGGTAAGTCAAGCGTCGGTCCAGATGGTCAACAGTCGCGACAGTTGACTTTTGCGACTGTTGTCCTTCCTGCCCTTGTTACGGGCTGATCCGATATTGCGGTAGTTACTGCTTCGACAGAGTCAGGTGCAAATACTACTGCACATACGGGAATGCTAAGTATAATTCCCTTCACACTCCAACACAATGTATATGTGTTTCATATTGTAATATGCGTCCTTATATATGTCTCACCATTCAACACTGCAATGTTTCCTCATTCAATGATGAAGACCTGCGTGAATCCAAATGTGCTTTTAATCCATGCAACTTGCATAGTATTAGGCTTATGGAAGAAACATACCTCATGTACAAAGTCATTTGCGTTCATCCATGTGTTTCTCTGGCGAGGATTTATTTTTCGTCCATCCACCTCTCCGGAATCTCTCCGGAGTTCCCAATAAATTTTGACACTTGTTCTGGTTCAGGTGGCACATACCTGTGTATTTTGTTCAGTAGACTACCCGTACGTGCACAGGGGTGGTACCTCCAGCAAATACCAGGCAGCATTTTGCCGCAGGACAGGTAATTCTCCCAGGACAACTCCGATAGTTCCTGCCATGGCCTCCCATTCTCTCCGCCAATCGCCCGTTTGCGCCACCCAATTCTCGTTCAAGTCACCCGCCATTTCCTCGCCTCAGCAAGATTGCATACGCGTCCATAGCGCGCATACGATTCGCCGGTTCGAGCACCCGAGTCCGTCAAGTCAACGGAGTCAACGGGGTCAACACCAGAAGGGTTCACAGGGCGTACAGGGCTCACATGTCTTACAACGCGTACATGGTGTACCTGGATTACAGTGTGAGCGCCAAATACATCGCCCGCGTCATGTAGTACATTACCATTATCATCATTATCATCACCATCGCTCATCACCATCGCCGCCATCACGAATGGAGACCATCTTACTCGAGCCCAGCACGCAGTATTAGCAGAGTTATAGCCGCGGGTGGCCGCCGTGACTGTAACGAGTACGCCGGTCGCGACGACACAGCAGGGATGCTCGTCCGTTCGACTGAGTCACGCGAGGACACAGCAACACGCGATGACACTCGAAACGCCTCTCTGCTTCGCCCTTCCACTGGCGCAAGCATCGCCCGGATCGGCACAGGCAATGGCAGTAGAGATGACGCACAAAACGGAGACACGAGGAGAATCTGTCATGCCGCGAATGGTGGCGTGAAACGCGGACACGCCTGGGGGGGGCATGAATGGGGGGTTGATCAATGGGCCCGGTTCTCGGCTGTAGCAGGAGCTGTAGCGGCGAGTCTCCTCGGTACCACTCTGGTTCTCCCGCCCTACGCGCTCGCTGCAACCACGAGCAAAGCCGCCGCGATTGCTGCCGCGCTGGCCGCAGCAGCAGCTGCGGAGGCAGCCGCGGAAGCCGCAGCATACGCAGCAGAAGCAGCAGCGCAAGCGGCAGAAGCGGCTGCAGAGGCAGCAGAGGCGGCGGCAGAAGCGGCGGCGGCTGCAGCAGAAGCGGTGGGAGCAGTGGGGGGAGGAGCGGCAGGAGGGGGGTTCATGCAGAACGCAGTGTGGCAATTAGCCTCCTCCTCCTCCGCCTCCTCCGCCTCTTTGCCAGACCTCCTCCCCCTTGTAGACCTGAAGCATCTTCCAGAGATTTTATCTTCCCTGCCTCTTCTCCTCCTCCCCTCCTCCTTCCCTCTTTCGCTCTCCCTCGCCCTTCCCTTCCAAGCCCAATCAGGTGCCCTGCCTATTGCTCTAGAGAACGCCTTTTCAGGCGCTACTGTTGCTGCTATCTCTGTCACGGCCGGTTCAGCTGCTAGTGCAGCAGCGGTAGCACCAGCAACAGCAGCAGCGGCAGCACCAGCTGCAGCGGCAGCGGCAGGGGTGGGAGCAGCAGCGGCATCACTGGGCGAGTGGCAGGACCCGGTAATGGGGCTGGTAACCCTGCTGGGATCGCTCATCTGGGTGCGGCTGTTTGACGAACTGGCGAGGCGAGTCCTCATTGAACGGGTGAGTTATTGTGGGTGTGGGAGAGAACGGGAGCTTGGAAGATGATTGGCGTTGGGCTTGGGGTTGAGGGAGTGGTTAGTGAGAGGAGTGAGGATAGGTGAGGTGAGGTGAGTGGTGAGCTAAAACTGGTCTTCATCCGCTTCTCCTTCCTCTCCCATTCACCCGTGTCCCCACTATTGCATGTCCCGCTAAGTGCAGAAGCTGAGTCGCAAGCTCGTGCACATTACCACAGGCCTGCTCTTCATGCTCTTCTGGCCGCTCTTCAGGTCAGCATTACCACAGGCATGTTATTCAGACTATTCAGGTAGTCTCCTTCTCTTCACGTCAGCTCCTTACCCTGTTTGCGCTTCCAGTCAGCTTCCCTTCCCCTGTGCATTACAGCTTTCTTTCCTTCCTGTCTTATCTTTCGGTTCGCTTCCTCACTTCGTGCTCGTCTGCCTGCTCGTCTGCCTGCTCCTCTGGTCAGATTCCCCTGTTGCATCATCCCCTGCCGAACCCCAGCGCACCCCCCCACACCACCCCTCTCCCCCCTCCCTCTCCCTTGCAGCACGAGCTTCAACGCTCGCTTCTTTGCTAGTGCAATTCCTCTCATCAATGCCACACGCCTGTTTAGTGCAATGCTAGTGCAATGCTAGTGTCATCTTCCCAACGGACCCGTCCCCCCCACCCTCCCCCCTTCGCCCCTCGCGCCACCCTCCACCCCTACCTCCCGTGCAGCACGAGCTTCAACGCTCGGTTCTTTGCCAGTGCCGTCCCTCTCATCAACGCCACGCGCCTGCTGCTGCTGGGGCTGGGAGTGACGCGCAACGAGGGCATGGTGAAGGCCATGAGCCGAGAAGGCAGCTCCAGGTGGGTGCGGTGTGGTGTGGTGTGGTGTGGTGTGGTGTGGTGTGGTGTGGTGTGGTGTGGTGTGGTGTGGTGTTGTGTGGTGTGGTGTGGTGTGGTGTGTGTGGGGCTCCTGGGCCCCTTCCGCTCCCCTTCCCCCTCCCCTGCCCTCCTCTTCCTATTCAGCCTAAGAAGTTTTTCAACTTATCTTCTCTCCTGTTCCTCTCACCTCCCCTGCACACACTCCCTCCTCCCTCCTCCCTCCTGCCCCTCCATGCAGTGAGCTCCTGGGCGGCCCTCTCTAATACATCCCCAGGCTAGCCTTCATTCCTCTCCTCTTCCTCTCTCTCTTTCCCCCCTTCGCTCCGTCTTACTCCTCTTTCCTCCCCTTCCGCCACTGCCTTCCCATACAGTGAGCTCCTGGGCGGCCCGCTCTACTACATCCTCACGCTAGCCTTCGTTACAATCACATTCTGGCGCTCCTCCCCTGTTGGCGGGGTGGCACTGGCGCTCATGTGCGGTGGAGATGGTGGGTAGTGCGGTGGAGATGGTGGTTAGTAGAGCAGAATCCAAGCTGCCATGCTGGTTCATGTTGCATGTCCATCTGATTGTCATACATGCGTTCCCTCTGTCTCCTCCTGCCTACGGATACCCTCAACTTTCATTGCTCTCTCTTTTTCCATCCATCACCCCTCTTGTCTTCATCGCTCCAGTTTCATCGTCCCTCCCATTGCATTACTGCCCCTCCAAACTCATTGCGCCCTTCGTTTCTCCTTGCATTTCCATTTCTCATTGCATCGCCCTTCATTGCGATGCCTTCCTCCCTTTCCATTTCTCTCACTTTTTCCCTCCAGGCATCGCTGACATCGTGGGACGGAGAGTAGGTTCCGCAAAACTGCCGTGGAACGACCAGAAGAGCTGGGCAGGGAGCATCGCCATGCTGCTCTTTGGATATGGCCTCTCCCTCTTGTGCGTGCTTGCATGCATGACTGTCTTGCTCATTGTTTGGCGCATGTTGCGCTCTGATTGCGCATGTTGCACTCTGATTGCGCATGTTGCGCTCTGATTGCGCATGTTGCGCTCTGATTGCGCATGTTGCGCTCTGATTGCGCATGTTGCGCTCTGATTGCGCATGTTGCGCTCTGATTGCGCATGTTGCGCTCTGATTGCGCTTGTTGCGCTCTGATTGCGCATGTTGCGCTCTGATTGCGCATGTTGCGCTCTGATTGCGCACGTTGCGCTCTGATTGCGCACGTTGCGCTCTGATTGCGCACGTTGCGCTCTGATTGCGCTTGTTGCGCTCTGATTGCGCATGTTGCGCTCTGATTGCGCATGTTGCGCTCTGATTGCGCATGTTGCGCTCTGATTGCGCACGTTGCGCTCTGATTGCGCACGTTGCGCTCTGATTGCGCACGTTGCGCTCTGATTGCGCTTGTTGCGCTCTGATTGCGCATGTTGCGCTCTGATTGCGCATGTTGCGCTCTGATTGCGCACGTTGCGCTCTGATTGGGCATGTTGCGCTCTGATTGCGCACGTTGCGCTCTGATTGCGCACGTTGCGCTCTGATTGGGCATGTTGCGCTCTGATTGGGCATGTTGCGCTCTGATTGCGCATGTTGCGCTCTGATTGCATGCTATCAACACTGCATGTAGCTAACAACACTGCTTTCCCTCCCTATCCACCATCCTCCTCCTCTCTCCTTCCTCGTTGTAGCTTGTAACATCTCCCCATCCTCAGCATTTGTCGTCTCCTCCCTTCTCCCACCCTCCCCCCACTCACACTGCCCTTTTTTTGCTTGTAGCAATTCCCCTTCCTCATCCTATCAGCACTATTCACCTCCACCCTTTCCCTCACCTCCCTTCCTCATTTTGGTTTGTAACATCCCATCAGCACCATTCATCTCTTCACAGCAGCTGGATTCTACTCCTCTGATTGGCTGCTGCTGCCGAACCTGCCTCTCCGAGTCTTCCTGGTCAGCCTCGGAGCTACAGTGGTGGAGTCTCTTCCAATCAGCGATAAGCTGGACGACAACCTCACTGTACCGCTCTCCACCGTTCTGTTTGGCATGCTACTGCTGCAACTGTGATGATACCAAAGGGACCGAAGCAACAAACAGACGCTGAATAAACATCATCACTGCCAGCCCCAACATGTCCAAGTTATTATTCCTTTTAAATTACTGTGGCAGTACAACCATAGCTGGGTGCATGCTTGCACACTGCAAGGGCAGGTACTCAGTTAGGGTGTAAGGTTGCAAGGAATTTTTGGCATTCCTTACTGCGTTCGTCAACATCGCGTACAGCAGCAGCCGTTGTTCGCCCGTTACTGCTAATGGGGCTTCACCAGCTTCGCGCGCACTGTTTTACTAAACCATGCACGCTGGCCTGGCCGAGTCGGCCTACGCTTCGGGGCTAGCCCGAACCTCGATGCCAGCCTAGCACTAGCTAGCTCGCACGCACCGCGTAACCATTGCATGTTTTCGCACATAAGTATTCGCTCATGCCTTCGCTCATGCTTTGTACACCTAGTGCAATCCTCGCTATCTCGTTCCATTGCACCCGTAACAAAGGTATTTGATAACTTGCAGCCCATTTTTTTCTCTTGACTAGATTCTTTCACCCCAACCACTAACATTGCCAAACCCAAAGTCAGGCCCTTGGTGATGGCCTTTCTTTAGCCGAAAGCTTCAGTGATTAGTTTGAGCGAGGTGTGGTTTGTTGCGATAGGGTTGCATTGCAGTTCGACCAGGCTGAATGCTGCGCTCAACCATTGCCAACAATTCTTATCACTTAGCCAGCTCAGCTTCCAGCCTGGCAACCTCCTCTCGCAGCGAATCCAGGAACCCGGGGTCCTCTCCCATCTTCTGCTGGTACTTGGCAAACGCCTCCTCTGCCTTCTTCAGCTCCTTGTCCACTCCCTGGCAGGGAGGGTGAGTGTGGGCAAGAGAGAAGGTGATGGGAAAAGGAAGGAAGACGGCAATAGTCTGCTGGTACTTGGCAAACGACTCCTCTGCCTTCTTCAGCTCCTTGTCCACTCCCTGGCAGGAGGCATGGGGTGGGGCGGGAGGGGGATTGCATGTGCACTTGTCGTCCCACTCTCTGTACTGAGTAGCTATGTAGGAGGCACAGAGGAGGACTGCAGAAGGACGTAAGAGTTGATGGACGTAAGACCTCCGCTGCCCACCTGTCTGCATTCGACAACTCCTGCACAGAGGAGGACTGCAGAAGGAGCACGCACCTTCTTGGCTTTAGAGGACAGCTCCTTGCCATGCTTGTCATGTGTGGGCACGGCCTTGTCATGAATAACTGAAAAAGAAGAAACCCAGGCAGACTGCAGAGGGAGAGCAAGCACGCACCTTCTTAGCTTTGGCAGACAGCTCTTTGCCATCCTTGTCGCAAGTTGGCACGCCCTTGTCATCCCACGCACTGTACTTGTCAACCGCCTTCCGGAAGATGTCCGCAGGAGGCACAGACGCCGACTGCCACCGGTCCAGGTCCTTCACCTGTGGGGGAGGAGGGAAGGGAATGCAAGGGGAAGTGAGTCCCTTGCTGGGCTTGTCACGTGTGGGCGACATGCACGCCCTTGTCGCCCCACACGCTGTCCTTGTCAATTGCCTTCTGAAAGATCTCTGCGGGAGGCACAGAGGCGGATTGTCACCGATCCAGGACCTTCACCCTAAACCCTGGTACAGGAGACAGAAAAGAAAAACAAACAGTAATTTGTCTCGAAGCCACATCCGACCTCCCTCCCGCCATCCCAACCCCTACACCCCACTTCACCCAGACCCTCTCCCCCTTTTCCTGACCTCTTCCCCCACACCTTCAACCCAGTTCACCCAAACCCTTCCGCTCCCTCACCTTAGCAGCCAGTTTCGTCTGCAGTTTCCGCTTCGCCTCAGCAGCAGCCTTGGCAATCCGCTCGTCCCGCTCAGCTCGCAGCACCTTGGGATCATCCAGCTTCACCACCGCTGCTTCTGCCCCCGCCCCACCCGTTCCCCAACCAAATTCACCCAAACCCTTCCCACCTTGGCTGCCAGTTTCGTCTGCAGCTTTCTCCTTGCCTCAGCAGCAGCCTTGGCGATCCGCTCATCCCTCTCAGCGCGCAGCACCTTGGGATCATCCAGCTTCACCACCGCTGCCTCTGCTCCCGCGCCGCCCCGGTCCTCGCAGCGAATCCCAAGGTCCACCATTGCATGGTCCCTCACTTTGTCAGTTAGCGACAGCAGCTCGTCCTGCAAATGATGGCATTACAGGGAGGAAGGAAGGACAGAGCGGAGAATATGGGTGACAAGGGCATCATGCCAGCTCCCCCTCCTCAGTCCTCGCAGCGAATCCCAAGGTCCACCATCGCATGGTCCCTCACTTTGTCAGTTAGCGACAGCAGCTCGTCCTGCATGGGTCAGTGTGAGGTGTGAGGGACAAAAGGAGGCACCATCAAGTCAACTCGACCTGGTCCTCGCAGCGAATCCCAAGGTCCACCATCGCATGGTCCCTCACCATATCGGTGAGAGACAGCAGCTCGTCCTGTACGTAGTGCATGGGGCACCAGCACGGCAACACCAGGGGTGAGGGAGAGAAGGAGGTACGGTCAATTCATGCATGCTCCCCACCCCGGTGCTCGCAGCGAATCCCAAGGTCCACCATCGCATGGTCTCTGACTCGGTCAGCGAGCGACAGCAACTCGTCCTGAACGGCAGTGAGGAAGGGAATTTTTGAGACGTCTTACAACCAACTCGTGCACAGGTTGGGGATTAAAAAGCAAAAAGTGGAATGCCACTGCAGTAGTGGAATGGTCTCTGACTCAGTCCAGCACTTCCTCTGACTACCACGCATTTGCACTCTCATTTGTTCTTAAAGACGTCGCCTGCTCTCATCTCACCTTGGTTGCGTTTTTTCGCACTGCTGAACGAACATCGTCACGGAAAGTTGAGAAGCCTTGAATGTAGGGCAGCTGAGAGGAGCGGTAGAGGGAGAAGGGGATGTGGGGATAAAGTGACGAAAGGATTTACACTTCACACTGCTGCTCGCACATCATCGCGGAAAGATGAGAAGCCTTGAACGTAAGGGCAGCTGGGAGGAGGGGAAGAGGGAGGGAGGGGTAGAGGGAGGGAGGGGTAGAGGGAGAAGTGAAGATGGGAACAGAGAGACAGCATTGACATGGGATTAGAGCGACAAGGGGCAAATAGAGGAAGCACATCAACAAAATGTGTACACATACGTATGCACATGTAAAGGTACACACATACATATACATGTAAAAGAATGAATCGAAATGTGTAGAAAGATGTGTACACCCTTGACTCACCACGATGGCCTCTTTGGATTGCTCGCCCTGAGCTCCAGCTGCTGCGCCTCCTGCTGTCATGCCAAACGAATCCAGACTCGAGTCCAGCAGACCTGCCGTGCAGCATGTGCATTTGGCAAACACACAAACACACACAGGTTGGCGTGCAGCAGGCTACGAGGAGACACTGCCAGCCAAAGTACAGAGAGTGCCAAAGCACTTGATAACAGAGTGCCAAAGCTATGGGTTTGCACGCTATTGACAACAGAGTGCGAGCCTACAGGGCTGTATACAGCAGGTTAGACCAAGGATGAACACAGAACCTTGTTGACTGGTGGCAGTGAGCATAGCAGGTTACAGATTACAAGCTGCAGTGCAGAGTGGAGTGAAGGATAGGCTTTTGAGGTGACTCAAAGGTGACTCTTGAGTCGACTCAAAAGTCACCTCGTGCAGTGCAGAGTGGAGGATAGGCTTTCGATTTGAGGTGACTCAATCGAAGAAATCCAGACGTGTTTTCGAGCCAACTCAACACTCTCTCGGGCTACCGACAAGAAGGTATGATTGCACAGTGCTTAGGAACATACATCCAAATAGAGTCGTACCAAAGACTTGCAGGATCCGGGAGACAAACTGGGCGGCAGACTGCAGCAGGAGGGGCCGTGGGCGGCGTTTCTTGGCGGATGTGTCTTTGAGGTACACGTTGGTGGCTGAGATGAGGTCGAAGAGCGCTCCGATGGCGCCTGCCGTGTCAAAATTGTCCTCCAGGCGAGCGTGGACCTGAATGTGAAGAGTGGTGGGGAATGGTGGGGATAGGTAAGAGGAAGAGGAGAGATGAGGTCGAAGAGAGCTGCTATGGCTCCTGCCGTGTCAAAATTGTTCTCCAGGCGAGCGCGGACCTGATGGAAAGTGGTGGGGGAAGAAATGAGGCAGGTACACGTGGTGGGGAGCCGTGGGGAGTGGTGGGGTGTGGTGGGTGAAGGGACACGTTGGTGGCTGAGATGAGGTCGAAGAGCGCTGCTATGGATCCTGCTGTCTCGAAGTTGTCCTCCAGGCGAGCACAGACCTGATGGTGAGTGGTGGGCAGGGGTGGGGAGTGGTGGGGTGTGTTGGGATGCATCTTCGAGGACGGGCACGTTGGTGGTGGCTGAGATGAGGCCGAAGACTGCTGTTATGGCTCCTGCCATGTCAAAGTTTTCTTCCAAACGAGTATGGACCTGATGGGGAGCGGTGGGGGGAGGGGAGGGATGAGGATGAGGAGAGATGAGGTCAGAATAAGAGCGCTCAGACCTGAAGTAGCCAAAGTTCATGATGCTGCAGGTTGTTTTTGAGAATTCTCAAAAACAACCTGCAACATCACGTTCTCAATAGTTCTTTCACACCTCTCAACACATCCATCACACAATAGACACCCCCCTCACCCACCACGTACCTCAGCCTGTGTGCTGCAGCAACAGCAGCACTCAGATTCTTCTTCGAATCCCTTCATGCCTCCTCTACTCTCTCCCTCTCACACTCCGTCACTCGCATCCTCGCCCACTCTCTCACTCTCTACAGCAATCACGCACCTCAGCCTGTGCCGTAGCCACAGCAGCGTTAAGAGTCTTCTCCAACTCGCTCCACGCCTCCTCGCCCTGCTCGCCCTGTGGGTGACCAAGAGAGACAGGCAGATCGGATGACGCAAGAGAGAGCGAATAAGCATATGCCCAGAAATATGAGAAGGACGGAGGGGGGATGAACGGAAACGGGAGAGGGGGGGTATGTGAAGTGAAAGGAGGGAGTGGTGGGTGGGGGAAGCTGAGAGGGGTTGGGTAATTTGACACTGGGTTGATCTGGTTTGAATCGTATCCACTGATTTTCACCCCTGGCCAGAGCAATTATGAATCTACACTGCTTGTATGACCTTTTTGAGGCAGGTACTTGTTTGCACCCAGCTGTATCTCATTCCACCGTATAATCTGCATTGTAAGCAGATGTCACCGCACCTCACCACATGACACCTCACTCCACGTCAGCACGACTCACCGCTGCCCGAATCTCAGCCTGAACGGTCTGGAAGAAGTTTCTGAGCTGCTTCTCCCTCCCCACCGCATCTGCCATCGCACCCTCCCCATAGTTGATTGGCTGATGGGCGGAGGCAAGGTTAGGGGTAGAGTGGATCAGAAGAGGATTAAAGCATGTGAAGGGAAGCGAATCATAGAAACTGATTCATCTTTCACAGAGGGATATGGGCAGAGAATCAGTTTCGATTTGAGCGAAGGAATGGGAAGGGTGGGGGAGAGGGGGCGAGGACAGCTGTGGTATATCATTCTGGCTCGGAACAACCTGAGACAGGGCGGCTGGTGAAATACGCAGGGCAATCCCAATCTTATCCGGATTGACCCTCCCAATGACCCAGACATGTTACCTTGTCCCAGGCCTGCAGCAGGAAGGAAGAGCAATCTGAATTGGCTCGCACTGATGAGTCGACTCAAAATGTGTCCTGTGCCATTGTAACGAGGTGACTTTTGAGTCGACTAAAAAATTGACCCCCGCCGCAATGACCCAGACACGTTACCTTGTCCCAGGCCTGCAGCAGGAAGAGCAATCTGAACTGGCGTGCGCTGTACTTCTCTAGAGCCTGACGGGAGGGTGGGTGGGTGGGCGCGGGAGGAGAGGATAAGAATGAGCGATGACGGGGATGGGGGCAGGATGATAAGAGGCGATGACGGGGAGGGGGAGCAAGCAGCCGAAAGAGCAATCTGAACTAGAGTACACCCCGCCCACCCACTCTAGAGTACACTGTGATTCTCTAGAGTGGGTGGGCGGGGAGGGTGGGTGGGTGGAGAGGAGGATAAGAATGATTGGTGACAGACAGGGTGAGGGAGTAAGCGTGAGAAAAATAGGCGCTAGCAGCAGGGCACAGCAGGGCACCTGGCGGGGCGGATGGTGATGAAGTTTTTGAGCGACTTGGACATCTAGAGACCCTCGATCGATGTGCAGGTGGGGGCCTCCCTCACACAGCCTCCACTCAACTCAACCCACCCCAGGGCCCACCATACCACACAGTGATTCTCTATGCAGCAACCCCCACCTGGCGGATGGTGATGAAGTTCTTGAGCGACTTGGACATCTTGAGGCCCTCGATGTGCAGGTGTGTTTGGCTCTTGAGACGTCTGAAAACACCGTATGCAACCCCACCAAGGTGATGCTCTACACAAGAGCACACATAGGAGAAGAACACAGGCCCACCTGGCGGATGGTGATGAAGTTCTTGAGCGACTTGGACATCTTGAGGCCCTCGATGTGCAGGTGGCCGGCGTGCAGGAAGTAGTTCACCCACTGCCCACACCCGTGAAACGCCTCTGCCTGTGCCAGCTCGTTGTCGTGGTGGGGGAACCGCAGGTCGCTGGTGTGTTGAGGGGAAGGGGGGAGAAGGAGGGACAGGTGGCCCGCGTGCAGGAAGTAGTTCACCCACTGCCCGCACCCGTGAAACGCCTCTGCCCGTGCCAGCTCGTTGTCGTGGTGGGGGAAGCGAAGATCGCTGGTGCATGCAGGGGGGTTTTGGGTTATCAGGTAGGGGGGAGGTGAGGGGTGAGAGAGGGGGAGGGGCGTGTGGTACGGTAGGTCGCTGGTGCGTGGAGGATGGGTGGAGGGGGATGAGGATGGGGGGGATGGGAAGATAGAGAGAGCGTCACATCCCAAGACTCGCCGCTGCCTGTGCCAGCTCGTTGTCGTGGTGGGGGAACCGCAGGTCGCTGGTGCATAGGCGGGCGGGAAGGGGGGGTGCAAATGGGATGGCTGCATACTCACATCACATGCAATGCCAACCAACTGCATGTCTGCCCACAGAAAATCAACGGCATCTCAAGGTAGAGCATTCAACGTGCCATCCTGACCGTCCATACATTGGCCCTTCACCCATTACTAGCATTAGCCCCTCCTCTCCCCCTTCGCCCCATTCCCACTCCCCCGCTCCCTCCCCTCCAGCACTCACATTCCCCCTGAGTGAATATCCATGGGAAATCCGACGATATCTGACGCCATGGCTGAGCACTCAATGTGCCATCCTGGCCGTCCATCGCCCCAAGGCGACGGCCACGATGGCTCCCCGGCCTTGCTGGCCTTCCACAGGGCGAAGTCGCTGCGGTTGCGCTTCTCTGACGTGGCAAAGTCTGATTCGCTCTCCGCTGCCAGCTCAGCGCTGCCCACGGACCACGGGCAGAGCTTCCCATACATGTGTCCCGACTCCCTGAAATGAGTGGGATGGAGGCGGGGGGGAAGAGGGAAGGGGAAATGGGATGGCGGGGGGTGTTGGGGTAAGTGAGGGGAATGGCAACACGCATGCACTGCCCGCGGACCACGGGCAGAGCTTCCCGTACATGTGACCCGACTCCCTGTGGTGGGTTGGTGGGGGAGGGAAGGAGGAAGGAGGAAGCGAGAAGGCAGAAAAGGGAGTGAGGGGAACGGGATTAGGAACCCACAGACCACGGGCACAGCTTCCCGTACATGAGGCCCGACTCCCTGTGGTGGTGGGGGGGAGGCGAGGGGGAGGTGGGGGAAGGGAGCAGGAGGAAGCGAGTTGGCAGAAAAGGGGGTTTTAGGGGTACATGAGGGGAACGGGAACAGGCATGCACTGCCCACGGACCACAGGCAGAGCTTCCCGTACATGTGACCCGACTCCCTGTAGTGAGCATTGGTGGGGGAGGGAGGAGGGAGGGGGAAAGGAGGGAGGAAGGAGGAGGGAAGGAGGGGGGAAAGAGTTTGGAAGGAGGGGTTAATGCGGCGGGGATGAGGGGGGAAGGAAGGAGATGGGAGGGAGGGGGAATAGAGGGGGAAGGGGGAAAGGATGGGTGTCTTGGGGATGAGTGAGGCATGTTTCCCCCCTATCATGGGCGGAGAGCTTCCTGTGTACATGTAACCTAACTCTCCACCATTTGGTAAGTCAACTCACTTAAAGCCCCCTTGGTCGAAGTAGACAATCCCGTTCACGGCATACCAAAAGGCTTTAGAGTCGACTTATTAGTAGGGGCGCAAAACAAGCTGAAATTCACAATTTCACCTTTTCTTCCTTTTTCACGCCCAGCAGGCTCACTTGAAGGCCTTGATGTCGAAGTAGACACTCCCGTTGATTTGATGGCATACGCCGAGCCTCTCAAGTCGACTCACATACAGACGGCTCAAATAACAAGCTAGAAATCACATCACTGCCACCTAGGAGGCTCACTTGAAGGCCTTGGTGTCAAAGTAGACACTCCCGTTGATGGCATACGCACAGCCATTCTTGATTATCGTGTCCACATAGTTGACAATGGCGTCTATGTACCTGGGGGAAGAGAGGAGGAGGCGGGAGGGAGGGTAGGAGGGTGGGGTCGTTGGGAGGGGTTTTGGGATACGCCCTCTCAAACAAAAGTCGTTGATGGCATACGCGCAGCTGTTCTCAATGATCGTGTCCACGTAGTTCACAATGGCGTCTATGTACCTGGGGGGGGTGGGGCGGAGCGGAGAGAAGAGGAGAGGAAGGATGTGGGTACGAGGAGAGGAAGGATACGGGGCCCGAAGGGGAGGAGGGAGAAGTGAAGGAGGTGGGAATTGGTGACTGAGTGAACCACTCTGGGACACCAAACAAAGAGACTGTCTTCTTCATGTGATTGGCTTCGGCATGAAGAACCACTCTGGGACGTTCTTTGAATCTGGTTGAACCACAGGACATGTCCTCTAGAAACACGAGCCAGCTCAGCACGTACTTTAAAACACGTGTCATCCCTGCACATACTCTGTGACACGTGTCAGCACGTGAGGTGGCCGCACTCCCAGCGCCTTCATGTCTTCAAAGAACTCCACTTCGTACCTGTTACGAGGGTTTCGGGTATAAACGTGAAAAAAACATCAAAATGGGATGGTGTACAAAGGAAGTGACAAGAAATGGGACGGAAAGCAACACGATACTCACTCACTCACTCACTCACTCACTCGTTCTCTCACTCGCTCATTCACTCACTCACTCGCTCACTCCCTCACTCGCTCACTCACTCACTCACTCCCTCACTCGCTCACTCACTCACTCACTTGGCAGCCAGGCGTCTGAAGATGGACACATCAGTCACAGTCGCCTTCAGCTTCGCATCCAACGACGCTGCCAGTGCATCTGCTGCCGCCTCTGCTGCTAAGCGTACTTCCTCACTCCTCACTCACTCACTCGCTCCCTCACTCGCTCACTCCCTCACTCGCTCACTCACTCACTCACTCACTCCCTCACTCACTCCCTCACTCACTCACTTGGCAGCCAGGCGTCTGAAGATGGACACATCAGTGACAGTCGCCTTCAGCTTCGCATCCAACGACGCTGCCAGTGCATCTGCTGCTGCCTCTGCTGCTATCCTGTCACCTTCTGCTGCTTCTGCTGCAGCTGACCCATCACCTGCTGTGCCATTGGTTCGTGCCTCCTCACCCACAGCTTCCCCTTCTTTCACAGTACCCCCCTCCTTCGCCTCCACCTCCTCTGCCCGCCGCCCCAGCAGAAGAGACACGCCTCGCCGCCCACCAGCCGCCACACACGCCGGGCCCAGCCGCTCCAGGACAGCCTTCGCCGCCCCTTCCAGCTGCTGCAGTTTCAGCTCCTCCTGTGCAGCCTGCTGCAGCAGCGTCTCTTTCTTCTTCTCGTTGCTCTCCCCCTCTGCTGTCTTCTTCAACCCCTCAACCACACCCCTCTGCTTCTCCACTGCTGCTGCCAGTGCTGCTTGTGTGTCTGCCAACACCTGGACTTGGGAACAGGGGAGGGGGGAAGAAGGAAACGAGTAGATTGAGTTCTCTGACTCTTTCTTCTTCTCGTAGCCCTCCCCCTCTGCTGTCTCCTTCAACCCCTCAACCACACGCCGTTGCATCTCCACTGCTGCTGCCAGTGCTGCTTGTGTCTCTGCCAACACCTGGACTTGGAATCGGGACGGGAAAGGGTGGATTTTTTAGGCGACTCAAAGGACAAACCCTTTTTGCTTCTCCACTGCTGCTGCTAGTGCTTCTTGCGCGTCTGCCAAGACGTGAACTTGGGATCGGGAAAGGAAAGGACGGAGGGAGGAGGATGGATGAGCGAAATTTCACAAGGAAAATGAAAGGGAGAGACTGAAATAAAAGAGGCTGAACGTTTGAGATGATTGACAAAAACGGCGGGATATATGACGTGGCAAGGTAGCTCACCTGGGCGGCATCTGACGTGGCGTGGAGGTACTGCCTGATGAGATAATCCCGCCTGGCCCTTACAATGATCTTATCGTCCACGTCAGTCACGTTCATCACATAGAACACGTCATACCCGAAATAGTCCTGCTCGATACAAGAAACACAAAGACAACAGAGAACAGGATAAGATTAGCGGAATTGCGACCTCATAGGGAAGAAACGCGTGTGACTGTAAGGAATTAAAGTCACCTCGAGAATGCGGCGGATAATATCGAAGGAGAGGTACGTTCGCGCGTGGCCGATGTGCGACGAGTCGTACACTGTAGGGCCGCAGATGTACCATGTGACTGTAACGAGAGGGTGGGGACGGAACGATAGTTGTTTCTTCTTCGGAAATATTTAGATTATCAATCTCGAAGATTGAAGGGTTTACTCGCACCGGAATACCAATAAACGCCACGACGATTGCAATGTCCGATGCGATGGCTTATTCAATCCAGCCAATGATCTCGATTCGCGTTACTGACGGATCCACTAACCCCCAACATGCCTTTCGTAAAAGCTTTATCGTCTGGTTTCGCAATGGCGGCGACCCACCTCGTCGTCCGTTTTGCGGAACGAACGGCACTTTCTCGTTGCACAGACTGTTATTCACACGCAAACCACCACCGGTACTTCCGCCGCTACCACCGCTACTCCCTCGCGCGTTCCCGTCAGAGCCACTTCCCGGAGGAGTCCATCGCGCGCCGAGGTGACCCGGTGCCGCCTCTGACGCCATCGCGAGTGCTCCGCGATGTCGCGTTTACAGGATTTGAGCTACTCAATAACGCACACTCGAAGGAAATCGATGGTGTGCCGAGCAATTGAGGAAAAGGTTCCTCGAAAAATGGGATCCCATGATCGGGAAACCTTGGGATTTGAGGAATTGTGGAAGAGTTCAGCACGGGACTTGTGGTTACACCTTGGACCTTACGAGCGAAAGTATTCTGGGCTACGTAAATGATTTCGCAACAGCAGATTGCGAATGAATGAAAGCGTTTCTCGCAACGTGGTTGGTTGGGTGGCTTCACGGGGAAGCCCGCAAAGTTGGCAGTGACCGTTGGAGTTAAGGTTAAGGTTATATAAGGTCGTAACCATGTACAGCAAAGCATAGAGTAGCTAGAAATATGGTCTACACAAACCAACAGCCCAGAGGCGTACGTAGGAAAACACGTTATTCCCCTATCCAATGGATAGCCACCAGCTCAGCTGGGGAGCTCTTCTATGCTCAACAAAGGGTGGGAGGGCTAGGGGGGGCGGAAGGGGTCCCCAAGCAGCCAGGAAGAGCGGAGGTCTGGGTGGATAGAAGGGGTTCCGTTGTGGTCGAAGACGAGGAAGCGAAGTCGAGTGGCCAGCTTAATACGAGCGGCTGAGCGTTGTTGTTTTTTCACTGATTGTTTCTTCCTGCGCCATAAGAAATTTTTAAAAGCAATGAGGAACTTTGCCAGTATGAGCTGGAGGATTTCAAACCGGGAGGAGGGCGAATCTTGGAACTTGTGTTCACAGCGTGCGTTCCAAATAGCTTTTGTAGATGCCCCAACCAGAAGGCTCCAGGGGGGCACCTGGCCGGCTCTGGAGGCGAGCGGGAAGAGAAGGAGCTCAGGAGGAGGAGAGCAGTGGAGGTGGCGACGAGCGACGGAGGAGAGGGCGGAGATCACTGCGGGGGCCACCCCGCACTCGTAGAAAATGTGGGATATGGTCTCTGTGGGAGCGGCAAGGCAGAGTGCACAAATCCCACGGTCTGCGGCGAAGTTGAAGCGTGAACCCGAAGGAAGAGCGCGAGTGTAGAACCGGTACAAGACGTCGCGTTGGAGGCTGGGTTGCTCCCGTAAAAAGGCATGGGAGAGGTCGGGGAGGAGGGGAGGAGGAGCGGGGAGGACGTGGATCCAGCGGGCGGCGTGGTCGAGGGGAAGTTGAGCGTAGAGCCGGCGACGAATGTCAGCTACGCTTGGGCAGCCGTCCCGAAGGATGTCGAACCGCGCGCCGAGCCCTGCACCTGTATGGAAGGGGCCTGCAAGCCAGGACCCAACAACGTGTACCGCAGAGAGGGCACCTATGTGGAAGGTGCCATCTCCGATCGACGGTCGGACGATGAATCGGTTGGGCAGGACATGGTAAAGGGAGACTGAGAGTGACGACGGAGGGGAGAAGGCCGTGACCTGGAAAGCAATAGTGGGAGAGGTCTCAGAGTCATCTTTAGGGACGAACCACTCCCCAGGGACTGCCGAGGGGGGAGGGGGGGAGCGAAGGGCTGACCACCAAGGTTTGGGGATGGCACGGATGAGTTCGCGCCAGACTCTTCGTCCAGAGGAGGAGTTGGCTATGGGAAACAGTGAGGTGAAGTGTTTGAAGGAGACCACACCAAACGAGTGGAAGATAAGAGAGATCAAATGGCCGACACGGACCTGCTTAGATAGGAGGAAGTGTTCACGCGTGAGAATTCCGAAGGGCTTCCCGTTTGGTTTGAGAATGAAACGATTGAAGGCGGTAGGCTCGCCCATTATACACATAGGGACAAGGCGAGGTGGGGCAATGTTCGGAGTGATCTCTATTAATGCGTGTAGTTCAGCGAGTGCTCGACCTGGGATTATCGTTGGCAGAATGCCTGCTTGAAGGATGGCAGGGTGCGCGAAGAGACAGTGTGTGCCAAATGGGAGGCAGACGGCGGCTCTGGCTACCTCTTCTGATGGTGAGGCGCCGAGGCGACGGAGCGCGCGATGAGCAGCTAGAGCACGGATTTGGGTGGAGGGGGCAATCGCTCCAAGGCCTCCGTGGCGGGTGGAGTTATACAGGAGCCGATTAGGGATGAGACGGATCGCGAGGCCGTGCTCCTTGAAGCGCGAAGAGGATAGAAAGTTCCCGACCAAGACGTCTAAGCGTTTGATAACGTCGGGGGAGGGGGTTTGAAAGCGGCCGGGGAAGGAGATGATAGAGTTTAAGAAGACTGACGCAAGTGACTTGCGGCAGGTGGCTGTGGCACGAAGGGCGGCGAGGAACTTAGCCGTGCGTTGAACGCGAGAGAGAGTCGTGGACCAGGTAGTGGCGCCTGGTTGTGCACGTTCAACGTAGATGCCAAGAATGCGTTCTGCCTCTTGAGGAGTGCGAATGGGAATGGGGCTAGCCAGAAGGATTTGTTCCGGGGAGATGTGAAAAGGAATTATTGAGCATTTGTTCCAGTTGGGGTGCTCTCCTGAGACTGCGGCAAAGGTCCGGAGGTGTATGAGTGTGGTCCCAAGCTCTCTAGCAGAGGAGAGGAAGATGGTGACGTCGTCAGCGTAGCAGGCCATGAGACGGCGCTGCGTCGTAGAGAGGGGGAAACCCGGGAGGAGGCCGCACCTCCTCCTCCACTCTTCTTATCGATGAACTCTTCCCGATCGATAGCGCGATGACCTCCTCGGCCCAAACTACCCGCCTGTTAGGCTACGAAGCTAGTCAAACCCTAAGCCGCCTAGGCAGGTTCCCCCTATACGACTCAGCTTCGTTTCCAGGTAAGTTTATGCTATCGTTTTTCCTTTTCTTTTTCTTTTCTACAGCTCTCGTTTTCACGTGGCTACTCCCCACCCCAGCTCTACACCAGCAGGATAGCCCCCCACTCCCCGCCCCCTCCTTTTTTTTGACTCCAATTGGCCACTCCCTCCCCCAACGGATCCCTGGCGGACTCCCTCCCAGCCTCAACGCGCCACGTCAACCTTCGTTCCAGGTAAGTGCAACCCTCCCTCCCCTTCTCTTTTTCCCCCGTGGCATCTCGCGCTCACTGCAAATTTCTGCTCCAACCTCAGCGCCAGCTAACCCCAACTTCCCTCCCTTTTTTTGTGCGCACTCACCCAATCTCACGCCACTCCCTCGCCTCAGCCCCGTCCCCTCCCAGGAAGCTCGGTTGCGTTGTTTCCAAACCCTCACCAACAGATCGGCCTCCTCCTGCCAAGCTGTCCCGTTCTGCATCGAACTCCAAGGACTTCCTCGACAAACTGCAATCGCCGAATACAGCTAACCCCCCATCTCCTCCCGTTTTTCTGGTCGCCTTCACCCCTGCCTTCGTCCCGCCTTTTTCGCCTACGTGCTATCTCCTCTTGCCTCTGTACTTCCGTGCCTTCCCAAGCGCCAACACTCCCGGATCTCCCGTCCCTTCTGGCAATTTTGCTGCCTTTGCCCCGCTTTCCACTCAATTGCCGCCTCCGGCAGAGCCCACTACATGGCTCAGAAACTTGGCGCGCCGCCTAGGCTGCCAGTTTCGTTTCTCGCGCGCGAGCGCTCGGACCCTCGAACGGTCCCGGGTTTCGGGCTGCCAACTAGGCGCCCACTTCCGCCTCTGGCCCTCAATTTACTCGCCACGTCGCCACGTTTCCCGTTGCCTACGCGCTGCCCATGCGTTTCCCGACACTCCCCTTCCCGTCCGCCCTCCTCCCAACCCTTCCCAACGAGCCGCCATCAGAGCCTCGCCTCCACGGCCTCACGCCCGTCCGCCTCCGCCGCTCCTCTGCCTCCCCTCCGTCCTGACGCTCCCCCGCGGGCGCTCCCTCGCTCCCGCCCTATTTAACCCACCTCAGCTTTCGTCAATCACTCACTTCTCTCCTCCCAGTCCCCTACGACTCCTTTACACATTCTTCTGTATGGCTGAGCAGGTTTTCAACCCCGATCTCACGATGTCCGCCGCTGAAGAGGAAAATATCGCTGAATCCGGCGACGATCTCTTGGTCGACGACCTTCCCGAAGGACTACTCGATGACCTCGCGAGCTCCCCTGACCACCCTGCTGCGAAGAAGCCCTGCATGGACCCCGGTGCTGGCCCTGCTAGCTTCAACTCCCCCTCCACCTCCTCCGACTCGGCGCTGGCGCAGCCCGCGCCGTCTCCTGTGCTCCTCGCTGCCGCTGCTGCTCCCACGTTGACTCAGCAAGGCCATGCGCCCTCTCTAGCAGCAACAGCTGCCGCCCCCAACGCCCCGGTTCTCCGCGCTGCTGCCTACGCAACGGCCGCCTCCGGCGCTAACCCGGCTCCCGCGCTGCCCGCCTCGCTCTTTGCCTCATCCGCGCCCGGCGGACCCCCCCGCAACCTCCGCCGTGCGCGCACCTCCGCAGCCACCCCGATGCTCCTTCCCCTTCGCCGCCGCGTGGTAGTCACGCTCCTCCTCCCGGAGGCCGTGTTGGAGTCGCACCGCACGGAAATCCTCGCCGAAATCAACGCGCAGCTGTGCGGCTTCATGTTCGATTCGGGCATCATCCCCCCCTTCGAGCACACTGTCGGCGACTCCCTCCGCGTGGCCCGCCACGTGTACGGCCGCCTGCTGTTCTCTTGGCCGTCGCAGGAAGACGCGGCTGTTTTTCGCAAGCTTTTTCCTCTCATGCTGAAAATCTCCAACTCCCGCCCCGTCATGTTGAAGGTCTTTGTTGATTGGTATGAAGCTTTTACCGCGGCAAAGGCAGCCGGCGCTCCTACCCTGTCTATCCGAAACGTCCCCCTGGAGATCGATCCGGAGGAGATCCGCGCCTTCCTCCTCGGGTCCACCGAGGAGGATGGTTCGCATTGGCTCGCGGATCTGACTGACTTTCACCGCGCTTCCGACCCCTACGAGAACACCTTTTTCACTCACCTCGCAGGACTCCCGGTCGCCACCCCCGATGACCCGAATTTCGAACGAATCCCGTCCGAATTCCTGCTGGAGGAGAACAAGCCAACTATGCTGCTCAATTTCTCCTGCCACGTGTGCACGCTGTGCGGTAACAACCACCGCGCACCGGACCACGAGACTTTCGCTGCCCGCCGCCGAGGACGCCTCACGAACAAGAACACCATCTCAATCGCTCAGCTGCAGCAGGCAAACGGTACGAAATCTTCCCCTCTTGTCTTAACCGCAAAAATCCTCCCTCCCTGTTGTCATTGCACGCCCTTAGCCTGCCTCCGTTGCCTCCTCATGTGCTCCTCCGCTGCCCCCCATCCTCTCACCACTCCCCCCTCGGTCTACCCCCTCCCTATCGCGCAACCTTCATGCTCCCATCCAACACCCGCGCTCCCCCCCCGCTGTCCTTCCCTCCCTAAGAGCCCCCGCCCCCCACTGCCTTGCTGTCCCCCCCCCGCACGGCCGTCCGGGCCCCTGCCACCCCCACTTTCATTCTGCCCCTACCCACTCCCCTCGTTCCCTCCCTTCTCACTCCTCTCCCTGTGCCAACTGCCCCCCCTCACCCTGTCCTCCCCCCTGTCATCCACCCCTCCCTTACAGCCCCCCACCCCCCGGCCCCCCATGTTGTGGGGCTCCCACTCAACCCCTTTTCCCCCCCACGCCACCCCCCCCTCCCTGCTCTTTCCAACACATGCAGGCAAGCCCCCGCCCAAGGACGCTCAGCCCCTGTCACCTCTGTACCCTCCTCTCCCCCCCCTACAGTCGGGCCTCCGCCCACCCTCACGACTCCCCCATCTTCCCACACCCCCCACGCAATCTCCGCATCGCGAAATCTCTTTCTCACCCATGATCCCCCACCCCCTGCCCCTACCCACGTCAACCCCACCCCCCACTACACTCCCGCCCCTTCCCCCTCGGAGGACAGTACCCCGCCCTCCCACAAGCTCGCCCCCCACCCGCACCCCCCTCCCACTAGCAGACTGGACCCTCCTACGGTACCCCCCTCTCTGCCCCCTCCCGACACTCCTCCCACGATCTCTCCAGAGGGCGGGCCCCCTGCCCAACCTTATGCTGGCATGGAGACGCTCCTCTCCCCCTGCCCTATCCCCCCCTTTTCAACCAGCACCCCTCTCTGCTCCCCCGACCCCCCGACTTCCCCCCCCCACTTCCTCTCCCCCGATTCCCCTCCTCCCCCCCCCTACCCTCAATCTCGCCTTCCCCCCCCTCACTCTTTTCAACCCCCTCTTCACTTTCTTCACCCCCCACCCTCTCAGGAACCCATCTGCAACCGCCCCCTGTGCTATAACCGGGCTGCCCGATCCCCACCGAGGCTCCCCCCCTCTGCCAACAGCCCTCTTCCCCCGGCCTCTCCCTCATTGCTCTCGAGCAGGCCGATCCAACCCCCTCTGGCTCCTTCTCCCCCCCCCGCCTGGGCCCCCGAACACCCCTGCCCCTCCCCCGCACCTCCCACCCCTCTCTGCACCTCCCTCCACCCGCAGCCAACCAGACCTCATGGTCTCCCCGCTCTTGGCCTTCACCCCCACATCCCCCTCCTCCCTGACTCCCCCTCCCCTCCCCTCGTCCACCCCCTCGTCCCCCCTGCCCCCCCTGTCTCCCCCCACCCGCCTCCTCTCTTGCAGGCAACTCTTTGGGCAATCATGCCGCGCCGACCGCCTTCGGCAACGACCCCAGCCTCCTCTACATTGGGCTGGGCGATTGGGTCGAATATTGGACCTGCGCTCTCTGCGACTTCACCTGCGGCGCTGCCCTCGACAGCGCCATGGAGCATATCCAGTCCGACCTGCACGTCAACCGCGTGAAGGCCTCCGCTCACCGCCCGACTGCCAAGGAAGAATTTGGCCCCTGGCGCGCACTCACCCTGCTGCAGCAGAAGGCCCCGGTGGCTGCCTTCCTTCGCGGTCGCCCTTAGCGTTACGACCTGCGCACCTTGGCTTTGATGCGTGGCTAGTTCCTTGGCTCTGTCATTTAGCAGGCACCCAGTTAGACCTTGGATATGCAACTCATGTGCGCACAATCATGTTTGTCAAACTCTACGTATTATCATTTTCCTTGCTAGTCTTCACTCCAACTCTCACATCTACGCAAAAAACCAAATACGCCATTTTTAAACCCTCACCCCAACAACTACTCAACCCCACACCTGCCTCACCCACCTCACGCTTCTACCAACCTTCACCCCTCGCGCACAGGCCAAGCCAGCCACCTCAGGCCCTGGCCAGCCCGGTGGAGTTGCGTCCCCCCGCACGCGTGTGCTTCAAGCCAACCACCATGATCACACACCCTCACAATTGTTGCCTTACCGTGAACAGTCCAAACCAAGCCCCAACAATGAACGACCTTCGCAGTCGGCTAACCCCCCAAAATATTAACACCAATACCCCAACCCCGCTTGACACTCGCCTAACGCGCAGCCATGTCAAGCTCACTCTCACCATGAATCACCAGAGCGAGCATCCACGCCTGTTTATCACACACGCCCCCATTTGTACGCCCGACCGCCGTCAGCGGCCGCAACACCTCCTCACACCCGCCTTAAAATCTCCCCCTGTAATCGTGGCCTCCCCTCCCGCCAGAGGTTCTCACTCGGTCGACGCACCTACCGACCGAAATCAACCCTCGCACGGACACAGAAGAGGCAAGATGGTCCCGCCAGAGAGCCCCCCTCGTCCGCCTGCCACCACGTTTGTTCCTGCTGACCCTCGTCCGCATGCCCCGCGTTACTTCGCTACTTGTTCTCATACGTCGTCATGGTTGACATGCTCCACCTGTGAATACGCTAGCACTCCCGACCCCCGGTGTACTCTCCTTCTCGTCACTACCCAGGAATACAACTTTTACTGCTCTCATAAAGGCAGACTCATCCCACGCTTCACCTTGCCGCATTCAAGCATTATTGATCACACGCCACCTATCAGCTTCGCTACTACTCAAAACTGGAGCCCTTCACTTCTCACTCTTAAGTTTAACACACACTTGCTCAAGCTTCACTTGTATGCGGCACCTCTACACCCTGGTTCTGTTGCCCAACATCTCCCTACCTTCTTGTGCGCCTCTGGTGTTGTCCGAATCAAACCAGTATGCCAGCATACCCACCACCAACTTCGGTTCGCACTCGTTGACAGCTCGACTGTTACCCACAACCTCCACCAACTTCCTTCCCTTTTGTATAAACACCCACGCCCGTGGATCCGCGCACACTCCTGCGCGGTGGGCTCCCACCTGGTAGAATGTTAACGCCCCTACGAGTCCGCTGCCTTAACATCAATGGTATCAATACGCCGGTTAAACGAAATGCTCTAAAGCGTTGGCTCTCCTCCTCCTCACCGCACACAGATATTCTCATTTTAGTGGACACACGCCTCTCCAAAAACCTACCTAAACTGTCACTCCAACTCCGGCCACACTCTTCGGTACACGCACCCACCCTCTACGCACTGAATTCAAACGGTCATCCATGTCCGCAACCCGGCGGCATCTCCATCTTATCCTTCAACAGAGCAATATCTCTCACCTCCCCTTCCCCCTCCGCCGATGGCCGCCTTCTATCCGTACATATCAACTTCCTGCGGGAGCAACTTCGCATCCTCGATATCTATGCGCCGAGACCTGCCACTGACCGCCGGATCTGGTGGAGATCCATCCTAACTCCCGCACTGGAGCAACCCACCGCAGCTGCTGCCACAATCCTCGCCGGTGACTTCAACTCGGTAATCTCCCCCTCAGACCGTAACCGCCCGCTACTTGGTCACGAACTCAGCGAAGCCACCATGGTGTCTAATCTCCTGCTATCGCACGCACTGTCCGACGTGTACCGCTCACTCCACCCTACCGCCCCCGTTTTTTCCTACTTTGGCCGACGGGCCAGCGCTGGCACTGCTCTCCCGCCCGCCTCCAGACTGGACCGACTCTACCTCTCCAGTTCATTCATCCCTCGGGCCTCTGAAACCTCCTACCTCTGGACCCCAACTGACGTTTCTGACCACTCCTTTGCACCCCTCTGCACCCTCACATTCGACAACCCAACCATGGCACCGCGACCTTGGCGTTTCAGCTCCTCTCTCCTCCACCGGCCCCAAGTCGCTACCATAATCGAATCTCACCTCCCCTCCCTGCCATCATGCCCTTCCTCCGATGCATGGGACGCCTGGAAACTGGCCCTCACGCTTAGCCTCAAAAGTTTCTCGAACGAAGAGCGCAAAAGGGTTACAAGCACTACAAACCACCTAGTACAACTCATTAGCCACCTTCAGCTCCAATCTGCCCTCTCCCCTCTTGACCATGATGCAACCACACAGCTCCTCAAAGCCCGCACTCAACTAACAAAATACGAGGCATCCAAAACCGCTGAGCTCGCTCTAAAAGCAAAGCTCAAAGTCGAGGGCCATAGGGAGATGGGAACCTCCTCCTTGCTGGCAGGACTCAACTCCCGCATCAAAGACTCATTAATCTCCTCGCTTATACTACCAGATGGACAAACCATCTCAGATCTACGAGCCATGACTGCTGAATGCACCAAATTCTTCCAGTCTCTCTACAGCGGGGCAACCTCGGACGTGCCAAATCCTGCCTTCTGGGCTCATATCCCCCCCTCTTCACTCCCCCCCAGACTCCTCAACCATCTGCAAGCTCCCTTTTCCCTAATGGAAATTAGCAAGGCCTTAAACCAGCTCTCCCGTGGCAAAACCCCCGGCCCTGACGGCATCCCGGGCGAGCTCTTCCGACAATACAAGACCCGCTTCGCCCCCGCATTTCTCTCACTCTTCTCCTCACCGCACATCTCCGCTACCCTCCCGCCGTCAATGCTGTCAGGCCGCACAGTCCTTATTCCCAAGAGGGGTAGCTCCTCTATGATCGACAACCTCCGCCCTATCACCCTCATGAACTCGGACTACAAGGTGCTAGCCTTATGCCTTGCCAATCGGCTGCAACTCGCTCTTCCCCTGATTATCCACCCTTCCCAAACCGCTTTCATTAAAAGCAGGAAAATTGGCGATACGATCAACGATACACTCGACATTTTCGACTGGAGCACAATCACGAAAACCCCACTTCTCGCCTTAACGGTTGACTTCCGCAAGGCCTATGACCTGGTCGATCGAGCTTTCCTCTTCCAAGCGCTTGCCAGGGTGGGACTCCCCGAGCAGTTCATCGCCTGGGTTCGCCTCATGCACACTAGCACCTCCACCTGCATCTCTGTTAACAACCTCGCTGGACCCACCTTCCCAGTCCGAACCGGGGTCCGACAAGGATGCCCCCTCGCCCCCCTCCTCTTTGTGTGTGTCATTGAAATCCTACAGCGCTACCTATCGCTCTTCCTCCCGGGTTTCCCCCGCAGTGACCGTTGGAGTGTCTCGTGTTTTGCCGCCAGATTTTAGTAGTTTCAGCAAAACTGGACTTGAAAGTTGGCACTCTCAAGTGCAGGAAATCATTTTGTTACGTGAGTGTGGGTTTGGGAAAGTATATTTGCGCGGTACATGATCGCTTTCCACGTTTATTGGATCACAAATTTATGATCTTAAGTAGAGCTTCATACTAGTTACTATCGAAATCCAGTATAAGTTTGAATACTAGACGTTCTTGATTGTGCCCGCTACATTACACCATCGTCTAATGTCTACACATTTGACAGCACCCGCACTCGGTTTGGCTGTGCTCCAGGAAACCGTCATTCCCAGATTTCTCCTAGATAACTTCAGAAGTGCTGGTGGTGATGTTGCTTCCCTAGCAGGTGATCTTTATTTTCCCTAGCAGGTGGTGTTTCTTCATTCGCCCATGACCAGTCTCCCTTCGGAGAGACCAATGTTTATCCTCAAGAAACGGTTGTAAGGCTGTACCCAATCGAAAGCCCGTTCAATTGCAGCCTTTCAGCAGCCCGTTCGTTCCCTTCGCTCCCACACGCCGTGTAGTTCGAGAATCGACGACGACGAGAAGGAGACGAAGAATATCAACACCCATCCGTATCGCGACGCCATGGTCGCTCAAGCATGCCTTCATGATGGTCTGGAGAGACACAGGCAACATAGCAAGCATTTACGTTGGATGCAAATTTCTGAGAATTCCCGAAAGGAGCGAAGGCTTTTGAGTTGACTCAAAAGTCACCTCGATAGGAGCGAAGGCTACGATGGCTCACCATATCGACGTTTTTCCAAGCCAGAGCAGCGGTTGCTTCGAAACAGCCTGCAGCAGTGGGAAGCCCGATGTTACCCGATGTTACGAAGCCAGTCTGTTACTCCAGGCCATTTCGCGTTCCACGTCGTCCCACACTCCCATATCGCTCGATTCTGTTGCCGCAGAGATAACAGTTGGGTTCTGATGCTCTAGGGCCAACATTGAAGCTTGAATTCTTGTGAATAAGGATCATCCGACAGAGTCATCCTATCGTCGTCAAAATAAGCCTGCGGCTTACTTTGCTTCATCATGGCCGTCCATCCCAATCACCATCACCACCATCTCGCCGCCTCTCGCCTCCATCACGGTCGCCGCGTCTCCCCGTCCTCCCAGGCCTTCCTCCTCTCCTTCCTCGTAGCTTCCTCGGTCGTTGCTTTGGCGGTTCTGTTCACGGCGTGCGCGTCGCTGCGTACCCTCTGGTTCGTCTCGCTACAAGCATTCTCGTTAGAAGCATCTGAATCAGAATCGTTCGCTGAGGCGAGGGCTTACAGAGGCGAGTCGCTGGCGCTAAGGGAGGCAGTTGCCAGCTGGCGGTCGCGAGTGGTGTACCATGTGAGTGGTGTTACTGTGTTACCATGTGAGTGGTGTTACTGTGTTACCATGTGAGTGGTGTTACTGTGTTACCATGTGAGTGGTGTTACTGTGTTAGTTGAGTGGTACTTCTGTGTTCCGCTGCAACTGGTGCTATTGTGTTACAGTGTGACTGGTGGTTACTCTGTTACCATTTCAATGGTGTCATGCCACCGCCTGCTTGTGTACAGATTTGCACCTCAGCGTATTGGGACGTTAGGGTCTCACAACACCTCTTTCCGCTCCATGCATCACTCTCTCTCCCGCTCTTCCTCTTCTCCCCCTCTTTCCCTTCCACTCTCCCCCGTCTCCCCCTCTCGCTTCCCATATCCCCCCCTCCCCCCCTTACTGCTCTGTCAGCCGTCTCCTCTCTTCGTTCCCCCTCTCTTCCCCCCTTCTCTCATTCTCTTTCACTTCAACCCTCTCCCCACTCTCGCCATCTCTCCCGCTCTCCCCATCTCCCCCTCTCCCACTCTCACTTCCACTACCCCCATCTCCGTCTCTCTCTCCGTTTCCCACCCCCTCTTTCCTTCTCTCTTCCCTCTATTGCCTCCCTCCCAACCCCCCCTTACCAACCAGGTATTTGTTGACAGATTCGCTCCTCCCAAGCCCATTCTATCCCAAGACCAGTGCGCCACACTCTCTGACTATTGCGGTAATCCCAACCCCACTGCACCAGGTTTTATATATATACATACATATACATATATATATATATAATAGCGCGGACCTTATGTCTTATTTTTCTGTGCAGCAATAACCGCCACCGCTACAACATACACATTCTGCACATAATTTCAAAACAGTCAGTGACACACTTGCTCTGTTGTCCAATACTGTTTGGCCACGTGGATGCAGGAGGAACGTTCACGGGGATGAGGCAGCACTTGCCATGTGAGTGACCTTTATTTTACTCCAGAAAGTTATTTTCATTGGTAGATCCATATGCTTAAAGGTATAGTTGCGTATAGGTGTCGAGGAAACAACGAATGCCTAGAGCGGGGAGGGAACCTTTAGTCCAAGCCTTAAGTTGCCCTGGTTTGAGAATGGGTCAGAGGGATCCTGGCTCAGCTGGCGTTATCCTCCCCCTTGTCTCCTCCTCTCTCTTCTCCCATTGTTCGTATCCCCTTCTCCCTCCTCCCATCGTTCGTCTCCCCTTCTCCCTTCTCCCATCGTTCTTCTCCCCTTCTCCCTTCTCCCATCGTTCTTCTCCCCTTCTCCCTTCTCCCATCGTTCTTCTCCTCTTCTCCCCTTCTCCCTCCTCCCATCGTTCGTCTCCCCTTCTCCCTTCTCCCATCGTTCTTCTCCTCTTCTCCCTCCTCCCATCGTTCGTCTCCCCTTCTCCCTTCTCCCATCGTTCTTCTCCCCTTCTCCCTTCTCCCATCGTTCGTCTCCCCTTCTCCCTTCTCCCATCGTTCTTCTCCCCTTCTCCCTTCTCCCATCGTTCTTCTCCCCTTCTCCCTTCTCCCATCGTTCTTCTCCCCTTCTCCCTTCTCCCATCGTTCTTCTCCCCTTCTCCCTTCTCCCATCTTTCTTCTCCCCTTCTCCCTTCTCCCATCGTTCTTCTCCTCCTCACCCTTTTCACTTTCTCCCTTCTCCTCCTCTCTCCACACGTCCTCTCCTCCCAACCCGCCTCTGCCATCAGACATACGAGGCATGGGCTTTGACGCGCTGCTAATCGGTCCGGTAACAGTCAACAGCCCCTATGGCTACCACGGCTACTGGCCTCGCGGCTTTGCCATGCCTCGTGGTGCAGGAGGAGAGGGAGAGGAAGGAAGTTTACAGGTACGTGATGCGATGGTTGGTCAAGTGGTGTGTGGTATGGACAACAGGTAGTAGCGTGCAGTTACCACTGCTACCAGCCTGCGAGCTTTGCCATGCCTCGTGCAGGGCAAGGGGGGAAGAGTGCGGTGCGAGAAGGGGAGATATATTCAGGCATCTCTTAGGCACTCCATTGCAGTGCTGCCGCTGAGCTCAAAGGATTGGTGACCCCTCTCTCCCGTCCCCTTCTCCATTCGTCCCTTTGCCGTCTGTTCTTCCCACTGTGTGCCCTACCCTTCTTTGCTCGCCAGATGGCCATCAACCCCCATCTCGGTACTCCCGAGGAGCTTAAAGCCCTGGTGGATGCGGCTCATGCCATGGGCTTCCTGGTCATGATCGATGGTGCGTTCCTTGCATGGCATGGCATGGTGTGGCATGGTATGGCATATGGCATGGCATGGACGGCATGGGATGGCATGGGACAGCATGGGATGCCATGGCATGGAGTTTCTATTCTCACCACATTGTTTTGGATACTCTCTCCCCCACAGCCCAAGGCTCCTTTTCTCTCCTTGCTTCTTTCCCTCCTCCCAACTTCCTCTCCTCCTCTCCGCTCGTCCCTCACCCCACCCACCAGTAGTTCTCAACCACGTGGGGTGCCCTCAGGGTGGGGGGCCGTGTGACACGTGGCAGGAGGGGATTCGCCCGCCTCCATGGCTCAACGACAGCTATGCTCCCTTCAACGAGGTGAGACAGGAGAACGGGTGACGGGATATGAGGGAGTTGTTAGTTTGGTGATTCCGCTGTTCTCTCAATCCACAATAACCCCATTCCTCCCTCACTCTCTCATTCTCCCTCTCACTGCTAGTTCAGTAATTGTCTCCCCTTCCCCCCTTCCCCTCCCACTCTCTCCCATTCCCCCATCCCCTGAAATGCTGAATGCCAGAGCGCCTCCTTCCACCAGCCCTACGCTGTCACCACCCTCCTTCTCCCGTCTGCTTCAATCCCCCATCTGCACTCTCTCTCACTCCCCTGTTCGCCTTCCCCTCCCCATCCCCCTTTACCCACTTACGTTCCCCCTTCCCATTCCCATTCCCATTCCCCGTTCCCCACTCCCATTCTTCGTTTCCCACTCCCATTCCCCGATTCCCACTCCCATTCCCACATTGTCCGCACTGCCGAACGCCAGAGCGCCTCCTTCCACCCGCCCTGCGAGGTTGATTTCAGCCAATACGACACCGACAACTGGCAGCGCTGCTGGCTTGCCAGCCTCCCAGACTTCAACCAATCAAACCCTGCCGTTGCCGCAGCACTCGTGAGGTCCACCGGTGAGTGAGTGAGTGAGTGAGAGTTGACGCAGCAAGAATAGCAGCACACGGCATGCACTCATTCGTTTGTAATCATGCCAGCTCCCAATCACCTCCCAGTGTCAGCCTCCCACTCCCCTCCTCTCCCTCATCCCCGCCAGCCTATCTCGTGCACACGTACTCGTTCGACGCCATACGAGTCAGTGCATGCAGCACACCACGGGACTAACCCTTTCTCCTCCTCTCTCCTTCCTTCCATCCTCGTCCCCCTCCCCATCAGCCTATCTCGTGCACACATTTGGATTCGACGCCATACGAGTCGATGCAGCACACCACATGCCACCCGAGTTCGTCCGCTCCCTCGCCTCCCACCTCCAAGTGCCAGCCTTTGCAGAGCTCTCCATCCCTTCGCTGCCCCTCCTCCATCGCCTGCTGGCAGGGAGGGTGTACACGGTGAGTCATCTCGCTGCAACGGCTCCCTCACCTCCCTCCCTCCCACCTCGGAGTCCCAGATTTTGCACAGCTTTCCATCCCCTTGCCGCCCCACCCCCATCGACTGCTGGCAGGGAGAGCGTACACGGTAAGTATGTGTGTGGGGGCGCAACCCCATCGACTGCTGGCAGGGAGAGCGTACACGGTAAGTATGTGTGTGGGGGCGCAACCCCATCGACTGCTGGCTACAACCCAGACCCAGAGGAGTTGTCTTTCTTGAGGCGCCTCTAAATTCCTGACAGGGAGGGCTTGTACGATAAGTATGTGGGCTACAGGCTACAGCTCAGGGGATTTGTCTTTCTCGTTGCACAAGGACGGACGGCGCTACAGCCGAGCTACAGCAGACCCTACAGAGATTCAAAATGGTCAACCAACACATTCTCCTGTGCATTGCCCTCCTCTCTCAACGCCCCCTCTCTGATTCCCTCCCTGCTTGCAGAACCATGCTACAGCCGAGCTACAGCAGGCGCTACAGCTCGCGATTGTCAATCCCGAGGCTTCTCATCTGCATTCCCTCTCAACTCCCCCACTCGCACCTCCCCTCCCTGTTTCTTTCCCTGCTTGCAGAACCACGCTACAGCCGAGCTACAGCAGGCGCTACAGCTGGCCATGGTGAGGGCGTTCACAGGCGGTAACACGGGCAGTGATGGGTTCACCCACAGCCCTGCTGCCGGCTACACTGTTCCTGCTGCTCCTGCTGCCTCCTCCGCCCCAGCCTTCCCTGCCCTCCCTACTGCTGCCGATTCAGCTGCTACTAGTTCTGGTGATTCTATTGCTGCTACTGCTGCTGCTGCCAGTCCTGCCACCCCTGCTGCTGCAGTGAGGGCGGCATCTGCAGAAGCAGCGTCTATGGTGGAGCTTGCGAGGGCCATGGTTGCAGTGTTTGAGGGCGCTGGGAACGCGGATTTTCAGGGGACCTTCCTCGACAACCACGACTCGCCCCGCTTGCTGGGCTTGCTGCGCGGAGGTAAGTGATTGCACAGAAATGCCTTCGAAAAAAAATCGCCTGAGATATCGTCTCGAATATTCCCGCTTTCTGGGCTTGCTGCATGGAGGTGAGAGAGGCGTGTGACGGTAGGTGGAATGAACCCCCCATGAGGCCAGGCCAGCCCATGCGTGTGGGTTAACCGGTAACCCCTTCCTTCCTTCCATGTAGCATGTGCCTGGGTTGGGTTGTGCTTCGGAAGCAATCGAATTCGAGCTCTGCCTCCCAGTCCTCTCATCCGTTCCCCGTCCACCTCTCCCATCCCCTCCCCATCCTCCTCACATCCTTCCCTTACCCGCCATTCTCGTCCCTCTCGCCCGCTCAGACCAGCTGTTGCTGCGGAATGCGCTGGTGCTGCTGCTCACCTCCAGAGGCATCCCGCTCGTCTACTCGGGCACCGAGCAGGTGGGCATTGGGTGGGTGGGCGGCTGGGTTGGGTGTGTGGTTGAATGGGTGTGTGGGTGGGTGGTCAAATGGGTGGTTGGGTGGGTAATTGAATGGGTGGGTAGGTGGGTGGGTGGGTGGGTGGGTAGTTGAGTGATTGGATGGTTGATGTTGCTCGCTTCGCTCCTTCCACCCCTGACTCCTAGCCGTTGTAGTTAACTTGATCTTGCTCTTCTCCCTTTGCTCCTTCCCTCCCTCAAGCCTTCATGGGTGACCCAGCCCCCAGCCCCCAGAGCCCAGAGCCCCTCTGCCCTGCCACCTGCAGCCCTCGTTATCACGTCCTGACCGTTGCACTTTGCTTCATGTTGCACTTCTCCATTCCCTCCGTCCCTCCTTCAGGCCTTCATGGGTGGCCCAGCCCCCAGAGCCCAGAGCCCCTCTGCCCTGCCACCTGCAGCCCTCGTTATCACGTCCTGACCGTTGCACTTTGCTTCATGTTGCACTTCTCCATTCCCTCCGTCCCTCCTTCAGGCCTTCATGGGTGGCCCAGCCCCCAGAGCCCAGAGCCCCTCTGCCCTGCCACCTGCAGCCCTCGTTATCACGTCCTGACCGTTGCACTTTGCTTCATGTTGCACTTCTCCATTCCCTCCGTCCCTCCTTCAGGCCTTCATGGGTGGCCCAGCCCCCAGAGCCCAGAGCCCCTCTGCCCTGCCACCTGCAGCCCTCGTTATCACGTCCTGACCGTTGCACTTTGCTTCATGTTGCACTTCTCCATTCCCTCCGTCCCTCCTTCAGGCCTTCATGGGTGGCCCAGCCCCCAGAGCCCAGAGCCCCTCTGCCCTGCCACCTGCAGCCCTCGTTATCACGTCCTGACCGTTGCACTTTGCTTCATGTTGCACTTCTCCATTCCCTCCGTCCCTCCTTCAGGCCTTCATGGGTGGCCCAGCCCCCAGAGCCCAGAGCCCCTCTGCCCTGCCACCTGCAGCCCTCGTTATCACGTCCTGACCGTTGCACTTTGCTTCATGTTGCACTTCTCCATTCCCTCCGTCCCTCCTTCAGGCCTTCATGGGTGGCCCAGCCCCCAGAGCCCAGAGCCCCTCTGCCCTGCCACCTGCAGCCCTCGTTATCACGTCCTGACCGTTGCACTTTGCTTCATGTTGCACTTCTCCATTCCCTCCGTCCCTCCTTCAGGCCTTCATGGGTGGCCCAGCCCCCAGAGCCCAGAGCCCCTCTGCCCTGCCACCTGCAGCCCTCGTTATCACGTCCTGACCGTTGCACTTTGCTTCATGTTGCACTTCTCCATTCCCTCCGTCCCTCCCTCAAGCCTTCATGGGTGACCCAGCCCCCAGCCCCCAGAGCCCAGAGCCCCTCTGCCCTGCCACCTGCAGCCCTCGTTATCACGTCCTGACCGTTGCACTTTGCTTCATGTTGCACTTCTCCATTCCCTCCGTCCCTCCTTCAGGCCTTCATGGGTGGCCCAGCCCCCAGAGCCCAGAGCCCCTCTGCCCTGCCACCTGCAGCCCTCGTTATCACGTCCTGACCGTTGCACTTTGCTTCATGTTGCACTTCTCCATTCCCTCCGTCCCTCCTTCAGGCCTTCATGGGTGGCCCAGCCCCCAGAGCCCAGAGCCCCTCTGCCCTGCCACCTGCAGCCCTCGTTATCACGTCCTGACCGTTGTACTTTGCTTCATGTTGCACTTCTCTCTTCTCTCCTTCCCCTCCCCTTCAGGCCTTCATGGGAGGGCCCGACCCCCAGAACCGAGAGTCCCTCTGGCCGTTCCTCAACACGCACCACCCTCTCTACGGCTTCCTGGCTGCTGTCATCCGCTTCCGGCGAAAGGTAACTTGAATCGCACATGGTATTCCCCTCTGCATCCTCCATGGAACTTCCCTGTTGCACTCGTTTTTGCAGCTTAATCGAAACAGCAGCCTATTTTGTCTATGTCATCTGAAATCATTGTTCCTGTTCCTGTGCATGACACGTCATCCGATATCCCTGTTCCTGTGCATGCCACATCATCCGATATCCCTGTTCCTGTGCATGCCACGTCATCCGATATCCCTGTTCCTGTGCATGCCACGTCATCTGATATCCCTGTTCATGTGCCACGTCATCCGATATCCCTGTTCCTGTGCATGCCACATCATCCGATATCCCTGTTTCTGTGCATGCCACGTCATCCGATATCCCTGTTCCTGTGCCACGTCATCCGATATCCCTGTTCCTGTGCATGCCACGTCATCCGATATCCCTGTTCCTGTGCATGCCACGTCATCTGATATCCCTGTTCCTGTGCATGCCACGTCATCCGATATCCCTGTTCCTGTGCATGCCACATCATCCGATATCCCTGTTCCTGTGCATGCCACGTCATCCGATATCCCTGTGCCATTGTCGCATTTGCATCCATGCAGGTGGCCCTGTGGAAGTGCAGGCAGCAGCACATCCTTCAGTTGATTCAAAAATATCGTCGACTTACGTCATCTCTCTGTCCCTTGTTCACGTCTGCATCCTTGCAGGTGGCCCTGTGGCAGTACAAGCAGCAGCACATTCGATACGTCTCCTCCCACTTGTTGGTGTTCCAACGTGGGCCAGCGGTCGTTGCGGTTACCAACAGCCATAGTGATGCGGAAGTATACAACACTGTACACGTAACTGGTTTGGATTACGAGGAAAGCACCACTCTTTGCAATCAGTGAGTAAAAAGCTACTGTCCTTAAGGTACACCTTTTTTACATAATAGTGGTCTTTGATTTATTTGCTCATTGTCTCTCCTCTGTGTTTTGTTCCAGGTTGGCTGAGAATGAGTGCATCCGTATAGTCAACAACGGAGGGTATATGCATTTCTCTGATAGAAATCCCAAGCTATTTTACCCCCTTTAAGGCATAGGCTGGGTGTTCTTGTAATGGCAATTGACTGGCGTGAGCAGGCTAACAGATCATCTGGTGTGATTGATGGTGGTGGGGTCTATTACGGAGTCTCCAATATCGTTCCTAGGAAGGAACGTGATGATGATCGCAAAACGGTTACAAGACAGCAGTCAAGACATCAGCCAGTCAACTGGTTGACTGGTTGACTCGAGCCTACCGGATGGGGATAAAAGGGCGAGAAATCATGGAATGAAGAGCGAACTGCTAGGTTTTCTGCAGTTCTTATCCTTTTTGGACGCTCTTAAAACTATGGCTTCTGGACATTTGGATCCATTCAATTAATTGTTGGAAGGGTACTATTAAATTAAAGGTAGCGCTTTTAACTGTCTGACCTTGAAGTATGAACAAGGTTTCCAGTGTTTTCGGTCAAAGTGTGTCAACCGCTGACGTCAACGCATGAGAGTCGACCGTTTCTGCGAAGTGGATGTGGGGCACTTGAATTCCAGGAAATGGGGGGTGCAGCATTACATTGGCGCTGTTCTCCAGGCATATGCCGTCGGAAGAATGTGCAGAGAAGTTGCCAAAACGTTGACTTTTTGGGGGGCAGCCCTAAAAATTGTTTCATCTCTGTCGATGCCGTCAGAATGGCATTGGCTGCAGAACATGCCTTTTGGCGACGGCATCAGAAGGGTTCGAAACCTCCGTGCGTTTTCCCTCTCAGGCAATTTGTGGTGCCTATGCCAACCCGTGGCAAACCACCCGAGAGAGGCGGTTGGCCGCGAGATGGCAGAGGCATCGGCCAGTTGGGAAAACCGCAATCTCACCCTGCTAAAAAAACAAAGCAACCGAAGGCGCCCTTGTAAAAAGAAACGTGCTTGACGACCAGGCTTTGTGGGGACCGGTTAGTTTTTTGTTTTCAGATCACTTTTTACCCAACCCTGCCCCAGATTGCTGCAGAAAATTCTACACAGCCCGTGACGAAACTGTTGCAACAGGGGGCGGAAGTCTCGCTTCTCGGGCTCCCGCTTTCCTCAGCCGAAATGCAAAATTTCCCAAACAGGGAAAGTGCTTAGAGCTGCAGGGGAAGTTTCTGGCGGTAGAAACTGATGCCGCTGCCATGCCAATGCCACCTGCCTGGAGAACAGCGCCATTACTTTTTTTGGTGCTGTTTTGTAGACTGTGAGATGATAGAGCTTCCCTGCATCACAGAACCACCATATGTACACTAATCATGGCTGCTACTAGCGCTCTGTTCGTGCAGCCTTGGTTCCATCATGGGCCTTCCGGGATCTCCCTTCATCATCGTCCTGCTCTGTAAGCTCTAGGCTCAGTGCCTGATGTTAGTATCCGAATGTCTGGCCCCATGTTATGAAACGGAGGCTGAGAAACGGGATTTTGCTGAGCGCGGCAGTGAGTGGCGCAGAGCGCGGCAGTGAGTGGCGCAGAGCGCGGCAGTGAGTGGCGCACTGCTTCAGCTGCATTTCCGATGTTAACTGTTACCATGCTCGTGTCGCACTACCTGCCCCGTCAGGTGCGGCGCTGTTCACTGCCGCCGCGTCTGCATCTTTCCTCGGACCATTCTTCCCGCGCGGCGACGGCAGCAGCGTTCCTCTTGCCTCTCAGGCAGTCAAGCCCCAGATATGGAAAGGAAATGTATTTGGTAAAAAAATCCTTTCTGTACGAAGCTCCTAGTATTAGTGATTCAAGCTTAAACCCCGTCGAAATGCGTGCCTGTCGCTGTCGCTCATTCTGAAGCCCCTTCATTGTTCTTCCACTGACTCTCCCCACCCCATCTGGTTCTTATTTTTTTCCAGAAAAGTATGTGGCCAAGTTGCGTCCAACTAAGATCAATGGGAAAGTAGTGGGTGACAAAGGCGCATCGGGGATATTTGTCCTTAAGGGTGTCAGGTACGTACCAATCACGTAACAGGGCTCGCTGAGCTTTGATCACTCGGGAAGTTGTGCTCTTGAACTGTGCCCCTCCTGACATTATGTCCTACCTTGAACCCTGTTTTTACAGCTACGGCGGTCCAGTGAATGCCTTCTACGAGGTTTATGCACTTTATCGAAACCTCAAGTCTGGCGGCGTAAGTCCCAAAGCATACCTAGATGATTCCTGCGTTTCTACTGCTCTTATGAACGACGTCCGTGCCTATCTGAACTTGACCACTCCGAAGGCTGGTCGACGCAAGCGCTACACATTCGAATACACTTCTCGTTCAGGTTCAGCGTCTGAAGTAGCTGTTAGTGCCTCTATTGCACTGCTTGTTTCTCAGGGGAATCATCAGATAGTGGGGCATGAGAAGAACCTGATGGCACTCTGTGGGAAATTAAAGAAAACGGTTTAAATGAGTGGCTTACCGTGGTGTGTTATTTAGATCCTGGTGATAGGTAGCATATCTGTACGTGAGTAGGTAGGAGTTGTGTCTCAAATTTGTTTTTAAGTTTTAAGACCTTGAACACTGGACTTCAATGCCTGTGCCACTTGAGGCAACTGTATGACTATGGTCTGCCCAATCATGTCTTATTGCTTGAAGTATAAACACTCTAAGGTAATCACTTTTACATTCAAGTTATCGGTACAACGAGATTCTTTATGAATGAGCGTTGACGTGTCGGCGCGACGTACCTCCACCTGCTTCGTTCCCCTTTCCTCCTGACGTCATCCTCCCCCGCCCCCTCATCTCGCCCAGTCCCCTCGCGTCGCGTCGCCTCGCCCCGCGCCACAACAAATCGCACACGCAAGCTCGTTCCTTCGCTCCTGCCTTACTAAATGCAGAATAAATATGTCGCGCTCCTACTGTTCACTCTGCGTTGATAGTCACGATCGCGCGGGTTCGGCCTTTTCCAGCTCGTTTTGCTTGCGGCTGCTGAAAATCGCGATTGTTGACAAGGTTTCAGGATTGTTTCTTGGTCATGCGATCTGTCGCCGTCTCCTGTGCGATTCGCACCATTCGTCGCCTGCCGTGGAACACGTTGACCGTCGCACAGTCGCCTAGGGTCGCACGGTCGCTTCAAGTCGCACAGCTGCGAACGGTCGCACAACCAGTTGGATTCTCGGCAACCGTTTTGGACGCGTTACAGCCTCTTCGCAGATCGTTCGCGAACCCCTGGACGTATTGGCAACTGTCGCCGGCAAGCGTGAGTCGCATCGTCATGGCTTCGACTAACGACTCCTGCGACAACAAATCCTTTTCGCACGGGACGACGAGCGCCGCCAACAATGCCACTAACTCCGCTGCCAAAATCCCCTCACACGTTTCGCAAGTGGACGAATCCAATTTCGCGAACCCGGCTAAACCAGCTGTTAGTAACCCGACCGGCGCGATGGAGCAGGGGGACGGGACCGCGACGAAGGTTCCAGGAAAGAGGCTTGTGAGGCGAATAGAGAGCAGCGACCCGTTGGCACTGTTGAAGGCGGTCGTGCCCTTGCAGGTACGAGACGTCACAACCTGCTCGTACACAAGTTCTGAGACGTTGGTTGGGGCGAGAGAGGGAGGGCGAGAGAGGGAGGGCGAGTGAGGGCGAGAGAGGGCGAGAGAGGGCGAGAGAGGGCGAGAGAGGGCGAGAGAGAGCGAGAGAGGGCGAGAGAGGGCGAGAGAGAGCGAGAGAGGGCGAGAGAGGGCGAGAGAGGGCGAGAGAGGGCGAGAGAGGGCGAGAGACGCAAGTTGGCCCAGAGTCTGAGGACATTTGAACCCAACCGGGTCTTATTTGAACCCAACCGGGTAATACTGAAGGCGCTCGCGCCAATGCAGGTCTTATTGAGCAAGTGTTGAGACGTCTCGCTGCTGAAGGAGTGCGGGTACTAACTGACGGAGCTGGTATTGAGCAGTTACTAATTCTAGATTGTGAACGCGGCGATTTTATATTTTGTGACGTTCCATGCAGGTAAGCAATGCGGTGCCTCCAATGCTCGCGCGATTCCTCATTGGGTGTGGCATGCTCACGACACGGCACGGCATGGCATGCTCACGGCACTGCACTGCACTCTTTCTTCGCCGTTTGCATTTCCTGCTTGCCTGGTCAACCCTCCCTCCCTCCCTTCCCGCTCTCCTCCTTTTCAGGTGCTCCTGGGAGCGGGCATGCTGACTGCACTCATCCTCCCCCGCCCCCTCGCGCTCGCACTCACTGCTGCCGCCCTCCTGCCGCCCATTCTGCGCACTGCGCTGCACAGCTGGCGCTGGAGTCGCGCTAGGAAGGGCGTTCCTGGGGGAGGTACATCTGGGGGAAAGGGGGAGTGGGGGGAGAAGGGAGAAGGGAAGGCGGAGGGGAAGGGGGAGGGGATTAAGAGGGACGTAGGAGCTGAGAGGGAGGGGCTTCTGGGGGAGGTGCTATTTGAGGCAGATAAGACAATGGCGAATGGCAAGGAGAACGGAGTCGGTGGGCGGCACAAGGCGGCAGCTTCTGGAAACTTGCTTTCAGTGAACGGGGTGGATATCTTCCAGGGCCGGATGGCCGGCAAGATGGACGGCGACTTTTGTCTGTTTCTGATTGGAGCAAGAGCCAACAACCCCTTCCCGATGGGCCCGTCCTTTGCTTCGGTTGGGGAGGTCTTCGGGCAAGCTGTGAGGTGAGCTTTGGGCAGGCTGTGAGGTGAGCCGCAGGCATGCATGTTGACAAGGCCTTTGTGTTACACGGCATGCATGTTAAGGTAGGCATGTCTGTTGAGTTATGTTTGAGACATCTCAAGAAAGGCATATGTTATGAGAGGTGAGCCGTGGGCTTGTGTTGTCAGGCATGCGTGTCAATGAGTCGAAAGATACATATACGTGAGGCGTGCTCGTCGCATTGTTCTCGCACGCCTTGTGCGTGCCCCTGCACAGCACCTGTCTCCTGTGCTTGGTGGCATGGGCATGGGCATTGACATGACACGCGGCTTCATGTTGTATCCTCACATCCCTGACTCTCCATCCATCCCCCTCTGCGCCCCTCCTATGGCAGAAAGCTGGAGCAGGAGAGTGAAAAGTTCGGGTACCTGGGGGGAGACCAGTATGTGGGCACGGACGTGACACGTGGCACTCACCTCACATGTGTGTGCCTCTCTACCCCCCTGCACCCTTCCCCTGCCAGGGAGCTGGAGCAGGAAAACGACAAGTTCGGGTACCTGGGGGGAGACCAGTATGTGGGCACGGACGTGACACGTGGCTCGCAGACATTGGCTGTGATGTACTGGCGCTCGTATGATGACCTTGTTAATTATGCCAACAACCAGAACCTCGTGCACGGATCCGGTACGTATGTGCCTGGTGCATCAATCGGTTTCAGGTACATGTCTGGGACCAGGGTGTCTCGCAGACAATTGCTGTGATGTACTGGCGCTCCTACGATGACCTTGTCTCTTAGGGCGCGTGTGTTCTTGCCGAACCTGACAAAGTTCGAACTCAAACCGTTTTGCACCGTGGCAAAACGTTTCTAATTGTATTGTACCGTGACAAACCGTTATAAAAGTTCGAACTTTCAGTCAGGTTCGGCAAGAACACACGCGCCCTTATGCCAACGACCAGAACCTTGTGCATGGCTCAGGTACGAGCGTGGGGAAGGGTGTGGGTCGGTAGTACCATATGTGCATTTGGCATGGTTATGGTTTATGCCTATGACCAGAACCTTGTGCATGGCTCAGGTGATTTTGAGGCAGGTTTGTCCAAGACTTTCTTACTATCCATCTTTCATCTGCCCGTTTTCTGTTTCCACTTCCCTTCTCTCCAATCTCCTTACTCACGTCTTCCCTGCACCCCAGTACCTTGTCTAGTCTCTCTATGTACCCCTCTCCAATCACCCCCCTGTTTTCCCGTGTCCACCATACTGTCTCCCTCCTTACAAGCAGCATGGAAGCGAATGACTCAGCTGCTGAGAGACGGCCCTGACATCGGCATGTGGCATGAGTCATATGCAATCAAAGCTGGGCAGTACGAATCAATTTATGTCAACTGCCCAGCATTTGGGCTTGGGGCGGCAGGAAGACTTGTGCCGGCCGCCGGGCCTTTGGCCACATCTAGAGGGAGAATGAGAGAGGGAGGTGGGGTGAAGGGGAAGGAGGGGGGAGAAGAGGACGCAGCGAAGCTGTCAGGCGACGAAAAAGTTGGTGGCAGATGTCCAATGGGATTTTAAGCTTTCTGCTTTTGTTGTGCAACCGTTTGGATTAATATATAATTTAATTGCACTATTACATCAGTCACTACATCCCCTACCACGCGAAGCTAGTAACGGACAGAGCAATCTACCCCAAACAATCCCCCCAGTGTCAGTCAGTTGAACTTGTGTATCCATCCCAAGTGTGTGTGCGGGGCTGTGCGTAGCATGGGCCCGTGTGTATGTAATCTGCGTATCCCTGGTATAGTCGCCAAATCCCGTCACATATACGCCTTCTCCTTTCGTCTTGCTTCACCCCGTGTGTATATATCTGCGCATAACCTCTTCGCTCACTTCTTCTTGTACACGTATTCAAAGTGTTGGGCTCCCTACGGGTTGTTCAACCCACAGAATCTGGCGATTGTGGCCCGCATTCTCGCTTTCTCGCCTTGTTGCAGCTTGATCGCAGCACCCCGGTGTACTCCGCAGCACCGCAGCAGTCACATACAGCCCCAGTCTCCCGGTCGTAAAGAACACAGCCCTCAGGCCTTATTCCCCAGCCCTCAGGCCTTATTCCCCACCGTCCTATCTCCCCTCCCCACCTCCTCCTCCCTTTCCTCCTCCTCAGATGAGCTTGCGGTGAACTCCTTCCCTCTCCTCTCCCGTTGCCCTCTCCAGCCTTCGCGATTAGTGATACCAGCTATTGAAGGATCCCGCCAAATTAGGTTTCTTGTTGGTGGGACTGATACCAGTAGACGCAGCACCAGCCACACCATTCCCTCCTCCCGAGCCGCCTGCAACGTCATCCTGAAGCTTCTGCCACATTTGGTCTCCCACCACGCAGTGGGTAGATTCAGTGAATGTGAACGTTTCAAACGGAACCCCCGCTGCTTGCCGGTTTTTCTGCACGCTGTTTAACGAGTTTTTTACGTTGCTGGAGAAGTACTGTAGCTGCTGGATCTGCTGCGGGGTGCACTTTTTGAAGTGGGAACCGAGGCAGCGCACAAGCGGGTTGGCTTTCCCCTTCGCCTTTGGCGACATGGCGATCGCGACGGCCTTGTAGTCCACCAGCGAATTCACGACGAACATTGGCGATTTGACGAACTTGAGATTGTATTCGGGGAAGAAACACTTCCACGTGGAATCACTTGGTTCCATGGCTGCGAGGAGAAGAGGTGACGAGAGGCGACAAAAAGAAGGCGAGAAGTTAGAATGACAGATCGAGAGAGCGAGAGGGGGGATGCGGGAGTGTAAGCAACTCGCATGTACTTGAAATCACGGTTTTTACCTGTCGTAAAATTTAACCACTCACCACAATGACAGGCAGTCAACCACGTTACGGCAACATTCACTACACTCATCACCCTAAAGCAGACAGTCAAGCACTGGTAACATTCGCTACACTCACCACCATATAGCAGACAGTCAAGCACTGGTAACATTCGCTATACTCACCATCTTTGCAGTCGCCGTTGATCCCAATCCGATCGATGTCATGCAGCTCTGCCAGTCGCTGCACCTTCTCCCGCAGCGACCGCTCGCCATTCACATCCACCACGTCTGCGGGGCAGAGCAGGAAAAGGGGGAAATTCGAAAACCAAAACATAAGCGAACAAACAAACAAACATAAGAGAAGGTATACAAGCAAAACTGGGGGTAACTGGTACACCGAGCACTACCATTCGAACGTTCACTCTTGTAAAACTGGAGAATTGTTCTTGGAAAACGGTGCTCCATACAGCTTGCCCCAAAAACGGCCTACCTGGGAAGAACCCTCCGTCCATGAAGCACTTGGTTTTAACGCCGTAATCCTTGAGCCACGTGGCAATCTGATCGCACTTGATCGACACCGCCACCGCGCCCGCGCTGCAACCCCCCACCAGAACCTCCTCCCCGTGGTTCAGGTTCTGATTGTCCAGCAGATCTGAGACCAGGGAAAACGGGGACCGCGGAGGGGGAAAATGTTATTCTGTGGACTAAATGAGTCCTCCTCCCCGTGGTTCAGGCTATGATAATCCAGCTTTATACTAAAACTCGTACCTTGAAGCACGCCGTTCAAGTTCCAGTGCCCACGGTAGTAGAGCGTCTTGCCAGTCTCATCCGTCTTGTTCTTCTTGCCGGATCCGCCGGTGAAGGAGCTGCCGTCGCAGTACTTTACGAGGACAACATTCCAGTTGTAGAACTGGGGGTTGATCCCCGCGTCGGGACTCGCGACTCCGCCGAAATGCACGTCCTGCGGTGGCGAAAGAGAACCGGAAGTGGAGAGGGAGGACGGATGTGGGGAGACGGGCAATATGCTTTTCGGGAGGGAGATAAAAGACGCGTTGCTCTTTCAAAACCGGTGTGTGTCGGTTTTACGATTCTCGGCAACAGCGTTTGTTGGAGCTCGCATTCACATACGAGATTCGTGACTCAAGCTAGAAGTCTATGATTCAACTCACGCTGACGGAAGGCCAGTTGACGGAGCTTCCGAGGTCCGTCATCGCGCGGTTGGCGCACTGCTTCGCACTGAAGCACCACCCACCGCCCTGGGAGGAAAAAACAGAAGTGGAAAATGGAGCGAAAAAAGTTGGGGACGGATGCCGTTGGAAGGGAGAGTGTGGTATTCATCAAGAATGCGAAGCACCTAGATAAAAAAAAAGTGAAATCGATTGGAACTCCGCGAATGCCTGTACATTTGTCGAAGCGCAAGTTGTTCCCTGAGGTAAAGCTGTTACGCTTCGTTCCGCGCTCACCTCCATAAAGAGGATCCACTTGTTGGCGCCCGTGCCGTATCCCTCGCGAAGGTAGTACCCCGGCATGCTGCGAACGGGGGGCACAGGCGAGGAATGAGCATGAGAAACACAAGGTAGAGTAGATACCTGTAAACTCCACTACGCGCCCGATCGTGGGAATTCATTAAGTGGAGAGGTCGTTTTACGATCAGTTTTCCAGTCTTACCTCCCGTCCAGGCAACGACCTCGCGTCTGCTCCTTCGACAGCATGTGAAGCCGCGCGGCACGGCCGCCTGGATTAACGGACGCCGCGCCTACTCCTGGCTTGGGACTCGAGCCGCCGTTACCGTTGCCGTTCAAATCGCCGCGCGATTTGAAGTCTGCTAGTGCCGAGGCGAGCAGTGAGCGTGGGCGTGCGGGATTCACGGACGCGGAAACGAGGGCTACAGAGAGCGTGACAAGCGCGAGTACGAGGGAGAGGCTTAAAAGCGAGGCCTGGCGGGAGGGACGCCGGGTTCGTCCAATGCGCGTGTGGCTTCGCGCCATTGTCTCCGGGGCGGACGGCTAATTCTGGCTGCTCTTGGCAGGAACAGACGCTAGATTGATTGCAGGTTGTTAGAGCACGCTAGAGGGTCTACTTGGAAAAGTAATAGGCTCTTACGGAGAAAACTGTGGGTCGAATATCGCGAGGGTCTGAATGACAGCTTGTGATCCTTCAGAATGACCTATTTCTCCTCGTCGCTGTTAGCCTAACGGATAGTCTATGCGTTTTGAATCGCTTCTCTGTTCTTGTACCTTGGCTAGTCCAGATCCTTTAGAATGGCTACAGCAAGTTGCTCGCCCTGTTTCCACGATCAACGACAAAGCTAACAGTCTCCAGACGCTGTTCCGCAGGGTCTCAGCGCAGTCGATGTCTACTCTCGGATGTCGAAGCGCAGTCGCCACGCGGGCGCCCAGCCAAGCCGTTAGCACTACACGATACACGGTTCTAGAGAAATGCTGAACCTCCACCAGAAGAGGTTACACTTCACCTGGACCAAGCCCAGGGCTAGGACATTTTCATGGAACAAGGCGAGCACTGCGTGTGGCATGTGCATCGTGTGTGTGGTTTGGAGGGAGGTCGAAATTGGATTTTCAACATTCGACATTTTGCCTCTCGTTTCTCCGTGTCGCCCACGCGCATCGCGTCTCAAAGGGAATGAGCGGGAGAGGCGGTGGAATCGCGAACCGCCAAGCATGCCTTTTGGTTACTCGCTAGTCGTTTTGTTCCGTTCAGCAACTATTCGAGTAAGTACACTGAACAACATATGTTGAATATATCTTAAAATAGATGAGTGCCTTGTACAAGACTTGTTGATGAATGCTGGGCCCGGCTCAGATAGTTTCCTAGGACTATTGAAAAGTATTCATATGGCTTAATGTCTTATCTGGCTAAATGAGCATGAGATAAGATGTCATATGGACACTGAACCAATCCTACATGCAGAATGAATTGCCCACAGAATCTTCTGCTTTATTGAGCTACACTAAATGTAGGAACCCATGCTCCTCAGAACATTGGGAGGTCACATGATGCATATTACATGATGTTCCATGTCACAATAATCATTGTACACCAGCTAGCTTGCTAAGCCGCTGGTAGGCCAGCTCCTTGAGCCGTTTTCGGTCAAATGGAACGTATGCACAGACAGACTCGTCCAGCCTGCATGCACAAGCAACAAGACAGAGACAACGCACATTGTGAGATGCGACACAACAACCGCTGGTAAGAAACGGCACCTGACAGTGTTCGTGAGGAACTAAAGCAGCCATTGAAGCGGAAAGAGGAGGTGTCTCAGGAAGCGGAATGTGGAAGACGTTGTAAACGCAGGGGCGGTGGAAAGGGTAGGGGCAAGAAACGGGAACGGGGGCAAGGGACAGGGACAGGGTCAGAGCCAAGGGGAGGGGCAGGGGCAGGGGGAGGCCAAAACATAAAAGATGAGGATGGTGCAGAGGAGCTTACACGCGGGCTGTGAGGTCCATGAACACATACAGCTCCGAGGTGTCACATGTGATTTCACTCCTTTGGGCTCATTTCCTTGCGCCGTCGCAAGTATGTGAAATTTGGAGGCGTTGCGAAGGAGCTTACACGAGGGCGGTGAGGTCGGGCAGCGACTCCATGAACTGGAACAGCTCCAGAGATGCCATATGTGATGTTCGTCACTCCCTTGGGTTCATCCCCTTGAGCCGTCACTCAAACAAAACAAGCATATAATTGGTGGAGGTTGGGCAAAAGGACTTACACGAGGGCGGTGAGGTCGGGCAGAGACTCCATGAACTGGTAGAGCTCTGAGATGTCGTATGTGATGTTCTTCACCCCGGGGTTCATCTCCTTGAGCCGCCGCTCAAACAGAGCGCACAGCCCTGCGAGTCGTGCATGGGGAGGAGAGGAGCAGCATTAGGGTTTGCATGCCCAGTGCATGGAGTAGCATTCCTGACATCTTTATTCCTTCATGTCCCTCGCACCCTCGCTCTTAGAGAGCCCTAGGCATTCTATTGAGGTCTTGCCATCAGGAAATCCTCAGGAGGGCTTCAGAGATATTGGGAATGTTTAAGGTTTCCGGGTTGGGGCTTGGAATTCAGTTGAAAGGCGCAAACTTTTGCTTAGATAAAGTCAAACAAGTACATGCACGCGTACATAATTCTATGTATCGAGAGATATATACAGAGGGAGAAAGAGGGTGAGGGAAGGGAAATACCATCAATGGCCTCTGCCGTGGTGGGGTACTCGATATAAGTGCATGATGATTTCTGTGGCGCTGTTTGCAGCAGAAGAATGGTGTGTCCATCCTGATTGGTTGCGGGAGTGGGAGAGGACGGTGGTGCGATTTGGGCAGAGCAGTAACGGACAGATAAGGTTGAGCATAGATAAAACAAACTCTTTGTGGAAGGATGATGAAGCACGAGCGTGTGCAGGAAGGCTTTGGAGAAGCAGCACAAATCAGCCAAGAACGTGGTGAAAAGGGGTGCGCGTGCAAAAGGCTGGTTGGGTGAATGCAGGGGACAGCCGACACCACAGGAGGGAAACCCAACCAAGCGGGTGTGTTCCAATTGACAGCGATTGTTCTGGCAGATAGACGAGTAAAAACGGCAAGAAAACCCTAACCGAGGGGCACTTGCTGTGGCAGTCCAGTTGCGCCATCTCAAAGTTCCAATTCGACACGCCAAATGTAAAACAGTCACAGCTTTTTAAACCAGAATAAGATGAGTGCAAGTTTCTTTACCATGTTTGTTACCAATAAGCGTGTCACTGCCTGCTGCGATTAGCGCGTTCTAAGCCGCCTCAGAATTTCCCCCTTTGCCTTGATGACGAGCGGCTACGACCAGGCCAGGTGAGATTTACAATGAGCAGAAGATTCCTACAAGAAATGTCCGTGTTCCCTGCCAGCACGCGATGCGCTAGACCGACTTCCACGGCTCCGCAGAAGCCTTGATTTTGACAGCGTCTGTCGCCTCGTGGCCTTACAAGACAGACCTACTCGGCTAAGCGTTCGACACTAACTAGTCTCGAATCAGTGCGCAGTACGCTCGGATAGGTGCGCGAACGAAGCGCTAGGTGGTTCGCAGTACATCGAAAGCACACACTTGGACAAGAAGCTCAGGGAATGTTCCAATAACAGAAAGCAGTGGTGGAAACTGGCATTTCGTAATTACTTGCTAAAAATGAGTCGGTGTACTGAAATATATGGTGTTTTTTTCTGTTTCCAAGGTGCAACTTTCCAAGGCTGGAGCGGCCTGAAACGAACCGCGTCGCGGATATGCGACCCCAATGGTGTCAGTCCGAGCGCATAGGTGAATTCATAAAATTACTGTTCGTTAACCCCTGGTAACTTTGATTTCGCTCATATTTCCTACTCCTCGAACAGCATTCCCAGCCTCAGCATTTTCGTGTTGGCGCAATTTCAAAATGCGCGCGCCGCCTTGAGATACCCGTGTCGCGGCTCGTCCAATTGTGACAGAGCAGGCATTCCTCCTGCATGGAGGGACAATGGACAGCAAGGCAAGCAGCCCAAAACTACGATCGAGCGAACATGATCGGTGTGGAAATCACCAGAATACATTATTAGGTCTTTGGACTAGCGTTCCAGCTTCAACAGCAGGAGAGAAGCTTTTCTAGCCCACTCTACTCGCGCGCTTTCGCCTGTTTAGCAGCAGAATCGTCCTTGTCACATCCGTCGATCTTTGTCAGCATACTTGACAAATTAACACCAAGAAGTAGGGCCTTCTTTCCTCTCTGTCTCTCGGGTCTATGAACGCGTGCCCACACCTCCAGACATGGACCAATCGCCCCCTTTGCGAATGCGACCTCACGCATTCCCCCCATTCATCACCATCTCTCTCTTCCTACTCGTCATCCTGACCCCGTCATACACTGTCGCAAGTAGCGAACCGGGTTCGCTAGAGATCGCAGATCCTTTCGAGACTTTAGACAGTGCCGTTGACGCTGAGTCCTTCGGACCGCACATTGATTTCTCTTCTTCCGGATCCGCCGGCGCTGGCGGCGGTGACGGCGGAGTCGGCGTTTTACCTGGCGGCCCGCCAACCGTGCCTCGCGTGGCGCAGCTGCGTGGGGCGAGTGGCGACGCTGCGACGCAGGCGAGCAGCGCCGTCGCCGCAGGAGACAATCAGCACGTTGCACGGCTGTATCTCCTGTCGAAGAAGAACTCTCGCGCGAGGTGCTTGGACGGCAGTCCTGCTGGATACTACCTGCGACGCGGGTTCGGCAGCGGCGCCAACAACTGGATCATGATCCTCGAGGTGAGCAGTGCCGCATCTCACTTGCGTGTGAATTCCGGGCCAGAAAAGCATTTTTATTTAATGCAATTAGACATGTTTTCTTCAAAGTAGACAAATCTTTGTGACGATGCCGACTTGGTTGCTCCTGCCATTATAACTCTTCTTCGTATCGCTGTTACATCTTCGTTTTCCTGTGCGTGTCACCTACGTTTCAACTGCATTGCCAGGCTGGCGGGTGGTGTTTCAACGCTAAGTCGTGCGCGAATCGAGCCAAGGGACCCCTGGGAAGCTCAAAGAAATGGCCGCCGACCAGCGTACGTACTATTCCCGACCTCAGCACCTCGCATTGCGGCAGCATATGCCGAGCCACTCCCGCTCTCCCACTCCCCTTCTGGATAAGTCCAGCAAGCTGACAGAGCGAATCCCTCATTCCTGCCTCCTCTATTAGTTCCATTTGCTTAAATCTGAGGTAAAAACTGGAATTCGGACGCGTTAGTTTTGAGCAGAGGCGTGCTTGACAGACCCCCATCACCATTCGGCGCCCCTTCACCCGGCGGCTATGGCAACCTGCGCTGCTCCTTCTCATTATACCCAGCACAGCCTCGGATTTTCCGCACGTGGGCTGCGCTGCTCGTTCCCGCTGCGCTCCACGCCTCCCCACAAACACTCGTTCCCGTCCCCTTGCTTCTTTTCCTCCGCCCCGCCTCCCCGCCTCCCACTTTCTCCCCGCAACAGGACGTGAAATATGGCGGCGTGGGCAGCACGGACAGCGCCGTGAATCCCGCGTTCTACAACTGGAACCTGGTGCTCGTCAAGTACTGCGACGGCAGCTCCTTCACCGGCGGATTCGGCAAGCTGCCGCCAAACTCGGAGACGGGGCGCGCGCTCTACTTTCGCGGGCACTGGAACCTGCAGGGCACGCTGCAAGGTGTGTGGCGAATGATTTTTGGATTCTCAGGTAAGTCACAGCGAAACACGGTATATAGCAAGTTCTTGCCCACTTTTGTGAAATAAATTCAACAAAGCACACAGTATGAGAGAAGGCAAAATAAATAAAATTTATTTACTTAGCACGTGTTTTACCGATGAAGCCCGCTCCCTTGACCACCCTCCCCTCCCTCTATCAACCCCTCTGCCTCTCATCCCCAACCCTGCAGATCTGCTGGCTCGGCACGGGCTGAACGTGGGCAAGCAGATGCTGGTGGGCGGCTGCAGTGCGGGCGGCGTCGCGACGTCAATCAAATGCGATCAGATCTCGAGGTGGCTGGCCAACTACAACGTAACCACCAAATGCTTCATGGACGGAGGCTATTTTCCAGGTAGGCCTCACCTACCGTCTTCACCCAGGGTAGGCTTCATCTGGGGTAGGTCTTTTATTCTAGGCATTCCCGTCTGGAATGCGATCAGATCACGAGGTGGCTGGCCAACTACAACGTCACCACCAAATGCTTCATGGACGGCGGCTATTTTCCAGGTAGGCCTCACCTACCAGCTTCACCTGCGTTAGGCTTCATGTGGGGTAGGTCTTTCTGATAGACATTCCCGTCTGGAATGCGATCAGATCTCGAGGTGGCTGGCCAACTACAACGACACCACCAGATGCTTCATGGACGGAGGCTACTTCCCAGGTAGGCTTCACTTGGGGTAGGCTTCACTTATTGTAGGCTTCACTTGGGTAGGCCTCTGTCGCCGCTGTTGTTGTTGCTGCTATTGCTATTGCTACTGCTGCTGTTGTTGCTGCTGCTGCTGCTGCTGCTGCTGCTGCTGCTGCTGCTGCTGCTGCTGCTGCTGCTGCTGCTGCTGCTGCTGCTGCTGCTGCTGCTGCTGCTGCTGTTGCTCTCTTAATCAGTATCAAATTTTCCCCGGCCTGTCCCCTCTCATCGAATGTGGCAGACGAGGACGGGCAGTACAGCATGTGGCAGAAGTTGTAACTGATGCCACATCCGTCACCTCCCTCCCTTGCCTGATCCGTCACATCAGATGTGGCGGATAAGGACGGGCAGTACAGCATGCGGCTGAAGGTGCAAAAGATGCCACATCCGTCCTCTCCTAAATCGCTACCATTATCGTCTCTTCTTCTTTCCCGTTACCATCAGACGTGGCGGATAAGGACGGGCAGTACAGCATGCGGCTGAAGGTGCAGCAGATGGCCGGCGTGCATGACATGGGACGCATTGGGGTTAACGCCGAGTGCAAGCGAGGTGAGTCGCCAATGTCCAATGAGCAACGAGCAATGAGCACTGAGCATTGAACAATGGGCGAAAGGAAGCCTCACAAGTGATGAAAGCACAGCCTTTTCGTAGGCCGGAGTTGTCCCAAACACTATGTTCAATGCAGATGCAAACAAATTGACTCTATCCAGCTTGTACATTTGCAAGAATCTCCTCCAATTGCTATACCTAACGTCTTGCTTTGCTTTTCCTCCCTGACTTTCTGTTTCATCTCTCCTTCCTCTTTTTCTCCCTGCTCCTCACCCTCACCCTATCCAGCCATGAAGAAGACCAACGAAACTTGGAAGTGTTTCTTCCCCGAGTACAACCTGCAGTTCTCGCGCTCTCCAATGCTCATTGTCAACTCCTTGTCCGATTACAAAGCCATCAGTCTGACCCTCGCACCCAGGCCCAAGGGTACCACAGACCCGCTGCTTCGGTGCCTCCGTTCCAGCTACCAAAACTGCGCTCCAGGCCAGGTTAAGCTGCTGCAGTCCTTTTCTGCGAAAGTTAGCTCCTCTATACAAAGGATTGTGCAGATGAAGTCTGCTGAGAATGATGGGTTCCAGGCATTTACATTCTCGCAATCTGCACACTGCGTGGTGGGAGAGGAAATGTGGCAAAAGGTACAGTCCACTGCGAAGGCCTTTTCTTCTGTTCCATCCCCCTCTTCCTCGTCTCCTGTGGCAACAAGTGGTGGTGCACCTTTAGCCACATCCTTTGTCAACTGGTTTCGTAGCTGATCAGTTTAGGGCGGAAATATGTGTTGTGGAGCACATTTTGTGCTTTCATTTTTCCATATAAGTAGGATGTACTAGGTATAAGTTGAGAGACGGAACCACTAGTTCAGCAGACCTATCAAAGGTCCTTCAAACGCGTAAACTATCCCCGTGGCACTCCACTCGCTGAAGCTGCCAAAATTGCTTTCTCCCGCAGGGAATTTTCAACACAGTTGCGACATGCGGTCTGCCCGCGAGGCGAGACGCGAGAGGTTGCATGAGCGCAGTGGTCCCCACGCAAGCCGCAATCCTCGAATGGCGAGCCATTTTGTCACAGCCGTCGAATAGCAAGCCATTTCGTAGCCCTCGCTTGATTCTCGCCCTGCCCAATTGTGTGTTCCAGCCCAGGCAGGGACTGTACAGTGCACAGATTGGCTATTGCCCCTCTCACGTGTTGACTCGATGGTTTTCCATCACACATCCACCAGCTTTGCATCCAGACCAGTACGGTCCGCGGTGGTACAAGGGATTCGGGATGGGTTTATTGAAGGGCAAAAAGGCAGAACAGCTCGAAAGCCTGGTTGCCCTTCGCAAGCCCATAGCGCCAGCCACGCCAGAATTCGGCTAGGTCGGAGGTCTGACTAGAAATTTCATTGGCGGGAGGTGCTTGTGGCTCATGAGAGCCATGTCGATGCCTGGCTGGCCTGGAGCGAGTCGGAGCTCACGTGCCGCTCGGGCGTCGGGATGGACAGTCTCGCCAGAGACACCAAAGATGGGAGTGTTTCCCGATTCTTGCATTGCTGACCCAAGCTATTCTATACGTCAGTCTTGATGTGCTCCGACGAATTCGGGCTCTTTAGCTTGGAGAAACTATTTTCCCTTCGCGAGTGAATAAAGTTGTTGAGCCGACGTGTAGAACACTAAGCTGGTGCATATATCTTAGTTGTTGCCACTAAGCCAGTGCTTGCTTGTCGTACTTCGTCTTTGAAGCCATGGCCGCGATTTTGCGCATTACTGCTCACCAGGGCCTAGCAAGTCTATCGTTGAGGAAACCTTCGATAGTAGAAAACACTAAAAGACTTAGTTTTTTCGGAGACAAGTATTTGAAGTGCTCGCAAAGCGGCGGCAGAGGACATGCTCGACGAGATGTCACTTCGCTGAAAGTCTGCTCTGTTCTCGAGGTAATATATTATACTAATTCTAGCATTTGCATGAAAATCACGCGTTCCGGTTAGACAATTTCTCATCGCTAGGTTTGCCGCCTGCAGGTGCCGAGTAGTCTTGAAGGTTCCTTCCCACCTGTTGTGTTCCCGACACCTGATGACGGCGAGTCAACCACGACAAGGTGGAAGGTCCTTCCTGACATTTGGCCAACTCTCGCGGAGCAGTATGGCGACAAGATCGCTCTTTTCGATCCGCATCACGGACAAAAGCGAGGCTTGACGTTTTCGGAGCTCGAAAGTGCAATCCGTGATTTCGGTGAAGGTCTGCGTGTCTATGGGCTGAAGCAAGGAGAGTGCGCCTCGCTGTTTGCTGAGAACTCGCACCGATGGCTTATCGCTGATCAATGCAAGCCAGTTTTCCATGGGATGATGCCTGTTTTGGTCTGGAGTGCCATACGAGTACTTTTAAGGTCGAGCATATTCTGATCATGCGGTTGGAGGTGCGAGCAGGCGTGATGGACATCGGTGCGCGTGATGCTGTTCGAGGAGCGAAGTCCTCAGGAGCGGAATTATTTCACATTCTGGAAAACTCGGACAGGTTCGTCGTGACTTTTTGGGTTCGTTTCACGTCAGTAAGGTTCCCGCATTTCATTTATGAATGACCCAATATTGTTGTGAATGGTTTCTTTCAGTACCGCTGTCATCGTGGACAACGTCCAGGTTCTTGAGCACATTGCGCCGTTTCTCGAAGCTTCTTCGGTGAAAGACACTGTCAAGTTTGCAGTTGTCCTTTGGCCTCCAGCCGGTAAAGGCCAGGAACGAAATATTGACTGGAAGACCAGCAGCACGTGCTCCAAATGGTTTTCTCTGTACTCGTTTGAAGAAGTATCGGCGGCTGGGAGTGCTAGCAGGCTCACGCATGATGCTCTGTCGCGCTCAGCTCCTCGTCCAGCCTCCAGGCCTGATGATGTGGCAACATTAGTGTACACTTCTGGAACGACCGGGAATCCCAAGGGCGTGATGCTCACGCACAGCAACCTGATGCACCAGGTCAAGCTCCTCCTGTCCCTCAGACTTTCTGGAGTTCCATCCTGCTCTGCCTCCCGCTATCTCTCTGGCTAACTCCCTCACTCTCACAATTTCGTCTTCCCATTTCCCCCTCCTCGTATCTGATTATTTAGCATATTCGCCATAGATCATCCACGCGTGATTCACATTATGTTCATTGTTGCATACATTTCTCACATCCTTTGCCATGATCACGCTGCGCAGGTCAACAACTTTGAGTGTGCCCTGACGCCTGACGCTGGTGATGTCATGCTGAGCCTGCTACCCCCGTGGCACATGTACGAGCGTTCATGCGAGTACTTTCTGCTGAGCCGTGGGGTCCAGCTCGTCTACAGCAATGTCAAGTCATTCAAGGTTCGCCCAGTGCTGTGCATGATCGCATTCCAATCAAGTCAACCCACAGTATTTGTGCATCTGAATAAACTTGTTCAAATTTCATTGCAGGAAGACTTGATGAAACACCCTCCGGACTACTTTGTGGCTGTTCCCCTTGTCTTTGAGGTTTTATACAGGTAATGCAGCCACAGTGAATCACCATTCAGCTACATTGAATTCTTTCCACTCATGAGATTCTCAAAACGGATTCTCTGTGTTGGGCCTGCAGTGGAGTCCAGAAGAAGCTTGCTGCAGCATCAGCCGCCAGGACAGCAATTGCCAAGTTCCTGATAAAAGTCAGCTCTCTTCACAAGGAAGCGCTGCGCATCTGGACAGGAATGGCTGTCCTTCGTTCACGTGAAAACGTTCAGGGGCTCATGTTCATGAAGGCGGTGGCAGAATGTCTGGGAGCCGGGCTTTTAGCGCTGGTACTGCTGCCTCTCCACCTGCTGGCGGAGAAGCTTGTGTACACCAAGGTCAAAGCTGCTATCGGCATTAAAAAGGTGTGGTATAGCATTGTAGCTGACCCAGCAAGGCTTACGCTGTGTTTAGACGTTCATGTTGATAGACGCTGTTTATAACATCGCCTCGCATTCTGCGCTTTGATTGTGCACACAGGCAGCTGTGAGTGGTGGAGGCAGCTTGCCGTCGCACGTGGACAAGTTCTTTGAGGTATGGAATGCCTGAGTTTTGTCAACTGACTAGGTCATTCTTAAGATGATTTGTTTTAGCTCCTGAATTTTGTCACATTCTATCTGATGCCGCTTCTCTTTTCTTTTCAGCAAATCGGGATTACTCTGCTCAACGGATACGGGCTCACAGAGACCTCTCCTGTGCTGACAGTCAGGCAAAGTTCCAACAATGTAAGCACGGTCGACCTGAAGTTTCTCAGTAGTCACATGCTTGCTACAGTAGACGCTGAGACCTGAATTGATTTTGTTTTTTCCGGTCTTTGGAACAGGCATTGGGAAGCATTGGGAGTCCCGTTCCTGGAACAGAGATAAAGATTGTAGACCTGGAGACGGGAGTTGGTCTCCCTGCAGGCCAGCGAGGGTTGGTCAAGGCACGTGGCCCCCAAGTGATGAAGGGCTACTACAAGGTGAGTCCAGGCTCCGCTCGGCATGATTCCAGTCTTTCGCCCTTATGATGTGGCGTGGGAGACATTGCTCAGAGAAGCAAAATTCTTTAATTTCTGCACTTTTGTAGTGTAACAAAACTTATGTGCATGGGCTTGTTGGTGTTGAACAGAACCCGGCGGCCACAGCAATGGCAATTGACAAGGATGGTTGGTTCTCGACTGGCGATCTTGGATGGATTTCTCCTTTGACTCCAGTTGGCGCTGCACGAAACGCAGGAGGGCTTCTGGTCCTTGACGGCCGAGCCAAGGATACGATTGTTCTTGCCAGTGGTGCGTGTGACTGTACAGTTGACTTGCACACACCTTTTTGCAACCTTGGCCTGGTGTGTTTCTGAAGCTCGATCTGATGCGTACATTCGTGCCCGAACAGGTGAAAATGTGGAGCCTGCTTTTGTCGAGGAGGTTGCACTTAGCAGCCCTGCCATCCGCCAAATAATGCTCGTTGGCCAGGTACAGCATGTGTAAAGTGTGTGTACAGCGTGTCTACAGCGTGTGTACAGCGTGTGTAACAGCTTAGGAGCAAGCAATCTAGGTCTGCCTACAATGAATGTCGATTTCTTCAACCAGCTATCTCTGTACATATATGCTGAGACCCTGCCACTCGCATGTCTTACGTTTTCAGGACCAGAGAAAGCTTGGAGCGTTAATTGTCGTGAATGAGGACGAGATGAAGGCTGCAGTGGCAAGAATGAGAGCAGAGAAGGGGATTGAGGGGGGCGAGGTGACAGAAAAGGAACAGAGGGCTGTCGTTCAACAAGAGCTCACCCGCTGGTAAGCTAGTCTGTTCCATCATCTTGTTTTGCACAACTGTCTTGTTTTGCAGTGCCATCGGTTGTATCCGGAACAACTGTCACACCTTGTTAATCTGGCCACCCTCTTCTGAATAATCTAATCGGCCCTTTTTGCTTTTCATATTTCTCCTCTTTTCCAGTTTAACGGAGGCAGGTTGTTTGCCGCATGAACGGGTCGGTCCATTTGCACTCCTCGATGAACCATTCACAGTAAGCCTACCTATTCATGCTCAGTCACGAACCAGGACAGTATGCACTCGGGTGTGTGGGGTCTTACTGACTAGCCCTGCCGGGTTGTTTTTCAGGTGGATAATGGTCTCCTCACAGCAACAATGAAGATGCGGCGTGATGTGATTTACAACAGGCACAAGGAGCTTTGTGATCAGCTTTTCCAACACTAAAGCACTAAGACACCCACCCAGGGTTCCACGAATGTGAAATAAAGCAGTCGATGGGCGACCCATTGCCTGTGATCAAAGCTTTTCTGCTTTCTTCCTAGACAGAGGAACATGTCAAGTGATCTGACTGCAGCTAGATTGTATGCAGCAATGAAAGAAAAGCATTCAACAGAATCGTTTCGGCCACCCGCCCGCACATATGAACAGTGTCAAGTGTTGTGACTTTCAATTGTGTAACTTCCCAGCATCAATTCCGAATGAGACTTCCCAGTACTACACCCTCCCTGGTGTCAGTCCAGACCAGAGCACTCCTTCAAAGCTCCTGTTGGAACCTCCGGTGGTATCTTTGAGATATTTGATATCTGTGACCCCATACTAATACAAAAATGCCTACTAACAGTAGATGAACCCTGCGGGTAACCTTATTGTTAGTGGTAATAGCATTTTCAGAACTACCATCACTGACTAAATAAGCTGTCGTTTGCGAAGGGAATCGACAACACTGTCGTTCTTCGCATCCGTGTCGAGAACCTGCAAACATAACACACCCAGCAACACGAGCAACGGAGCACAGCACAATGTTTAAGTTCTTACGATGCGCTCCAACATTCCGTGCTCAAGATGTGCACACCATGTGTTAGCCTCTTTAACCAATCGGAACCACAACAACGAAAGAATGGTCAGCAACACATTCACAATGTGTCTCACGCACCTTATCAATGATCCCATACTCCACCGCAGCATCAGGGGTCAGATACATGGGGCGCCGGATGTCATTCTCGATCGTCTCCTCTGACTTGCCTGTGTGCCGCGAGTACAGCTTCACCTGCAGCAGAAACAGGGACAGAACGTACAAGAAGAGAAGAAGGAAAACAAGAAAAGAAAAAAGAGGAAACCATTCTGTGCATGTGCATGTCGTATCACGCAAGTCTATGACTTGTCAATGCCAGTGATACTCAGTAGCCATTGTCTTCACGTAGCACACTTCATGGCATATAATGGGCTTGTCAATGTTGCCAACCTGTCGAGGTCGGTGGCCTGCCAATGTCAGAGACTGATGAGTATCAGTTTCCCAAGCGCTCACCAGTTCTGTTTCCACGTTCCGCACTTCCTTGCGCATGATGTCAATGTCAGTGGCCTTTTGAAGCCAGCAATTGAATCGATGTGAAGGTGTAGCAAAGTGAACCCCACGCACTCACCAGTTCTGTTTTCACGTTCCGCACTTCCTTGCGCATGATGTCAATGTCAGTGGCCTATGAAGTGTGAATATCAGTGCCCTGTGAATGTCACCAATTTCTCTCTCTGATACTCACCAGTTCACCCTTCACATTCCGCACTTCCTTGCGCATGATATCAATATCAGTGGCCTGCCAATATCCGCAGCCTGTAAACGTCTCTGACTTCTCTCTCTAGTACCCAATCACTCACCAGTTCACCCTTCACATTCCGCACTTCCTTGCGCATGATGTCAATGTCAGTGAGTCAGTGACCCCTCTCTCATTGTCCAGGGTACATATAATCCCACATGTGCTCCAATCACTCACCAGTTCACCCTTCACATTCCGCACTTCCTTGCGCATGATGTCAATGTCAGTGAGTCAGTGACCCCTCTCTCATTGTCCAGGGTACATATAATCCCACATGTGCTCCAATCACTCACCAGTTCACCCTTCACATTCCGCACTTCCTTGCGCATGATGTCAATGTCAGTGAGTCAGTGACCCCTCTCTCATTGTCCAGGGTACATATAATCCCACATGTGCTCCAATCACTCACCAGTTCACCCTTCACATTCCGCACTTCCTTGCGCATGATGTCAATGTCAGTGAGTCAGTGACCCCTCTCTCATTGTCCAGGGTACATATAATCCCACATGTGCTCCAATCACTCACCAGTTCACCCTTCACATTCCGCACTTCCTTGCGCATGATATCAATGTCAGTGGCCTGCCCGCGGAACCGGGAGATGGGTTGCTTGAGCATGATCGATGAGGACGGCAGTGCCGACCGGTTGCCCTTGGATCCAGCAGACAGCAGCAGCGCCGCCTCCCCCCACGCGTTGCCCACACAGAGAGTGAAGATCGGTGGCTTCACGTAGCTGGGGAACGGGAGAGGGGAGAGGCATGGGAGAAGGAAAGGGTGGGGGAGCAGGGGGGAATGGAGGGACGGGGGGCAATACGGGGAAAAAGGGGGGAAGTGGGAAGAGTTGGAGAGAGCGGTGAGATGGGCTGCTTGAGCATGATCGACGAGGAGGGCAGTGCCGACCGGTTGCCCTTGGATCCAGCAGACAGCAGCAGCGCCGCCTCCCCCCACGCGTTGCCCACACAGAGCGTGAAAATGGGTGGCTTCACGTAACTGGGGGAAGGGAGAATGAGAGAGATCAGATGGGGGGAACAGCGGGAAATGCGGGGGGACAATACGGGGAAAAAGGGGGACAGTGGGGGGAGGAGTGGGGGGAGCGGAAGAGAGTGGTGAGATGGGTTGCTTGAGCATGATGGAGGAAGAGGGCAGGGTCGACCGGTTGCCCTTGGATCCAGCAGACAGCACCAGCGCCGCCTCCCCCCACGCGTTGCCCACACACAGCGTGAAAATCGGCGGCTTCACATAGCTGGGGCGTGGGAGTGAGGGGGCAACGGGAGGAGGATGCAGGACAATGGAGGGAGAATGGGGGACAAAGAGGGGATGATGAGAGACAGGCACAATGAGGGGAGAAAAGGGGACAACACGGGGAGACGGGGAACAAAGGGAAGGCACAGCACGGGCACGAGGGCTCAGGAAGGGATGAAGCGAGAGGAGGGGAGGGCATAGGTCAAGCGTGAGCAAGGGTGAGATGGAAGAGGATAAGGCCCCTTCCTGCCCTCATAGGTCAAGCGTGAGCAAGGGTGAGATGGAAGAGGATAAGGCCCCTTCCTGCCCTCATAGGTCAAGCGTGAGCAAGGGTGAGATGGAAGAGGATAAGGCCCCTTCCTGCCCTCATAGGTCAAGCGTGAGCAAGGGTGAGATGGAAGAGGATAAGGCCCCTTCCTGCCCTCATAAGTCAAGCGTGAGCAAGGGTGAGATGGAAGAGGATATAAGGCCCCTTCCTGCCCTCATAGGTCAAGCGTGAGCAAGGGTGAGATGGAAGAGGATAAGGCCCCTTCCTGCCCTCATAGGTCAAGCGTGAGCAAGGGTGAGATGGAAGAGGATAAGGCCCCTTCCTGCCCTCATAGGTCAAGCGTGAGCAAGGGTGAGATGGAAGAGGATAAGGCCCCTTCCTGCCCTCATAGGTCAAGCGTGAGCAAGGGTGAGATGGAAGAGGATAAGGCCCCTTCCTGCCCTCATAGGTCAAGCGTGAGCAAGGGTGAGATGGAAGAGGATAAGGCCCCTTCCTGCCCTCATAGGTCAAGCGTGAGCAAGGGTGAGATACCGCATGGTGCGGTAGATGGCACAGACCACATGGTGCGGTAGATGGCACAGACCGCATGGTGCGGTAGATGGCACAGACCGCATGGTGCGGTAGATGGCACAGACCGCATGGTGCGGTAGATGGCACAGACCGCATGGTGCGGTAGATGGCACAGACCGCATGGTGCGGTAGATGGCACAGACCGCATGGAAGGGAGGACTGAGGATGACACACCTACCACACCTTCCTGCCCTCATCTACCGCATGGTCGATGAGGGCAGGAAGGGAGGAGATGAGGAGGAAGAGAAAGAGAGAGAGAGAGAGAGAGAGAGAGAGAGAGAGAGAGAGAGAGAGAGAGAGAGAGAGAGAAAGGGGGACTTAGCCTCTTCCCTCCTAGCCTCTTCCCCTTCCCCCAGCTATATAATGGCCAGCCGGCACCTTCCCTAGCTCATTATTCATTTGGTGATTCCAATTTTTCCGGTGCTCGTTTCGAGAGAGCGAGAGAGAAAGGGGGACTTAGCCTCTTCCCTCCTAGCCTCTTCCCCTTCCCCCAGCTATATAATGGCCAGCCGGCACCTTCCCTAGCTCATTATTCATTTGGTGATTCCAAATTTTCCGGTGCTCGTTTCGAGAGAGCGAGAGAGAAAGGGGGACTTAGCCTCTTCCCTCCTAGCCTCTTCCCCTTCCCCCAGCTATATAATGGCCAGCCGGCACCTTCCCTAGCTCATTATTCATTTGGTGATTCCAAATTTTCCGGCGCTTCGCGCCGGCGGCCTTCGGCCGCCGGCGCTCGCGTGCGCGGCCTACGGCCGCGCATTTTAGGAGGCAAGCTTAGGTAACGGGACAACTTTAGCAGACAGCATGGCGACAAACATCATCAACTAGCAGGCATCATGGAGAAGGTCTACACAAGACAAAGGGGGGCACCTACATGCGGTCCGCCCCCAGAAACGAGAGCATTCCGCGCGTGGTCTGCCACAAGTGGCGGACCACTGACACGCAGGCGGTTAGAGCATCTCCGGGTGTGCCTTCAACCGACCCTGCAATGTGCCTCAGATCCAGGGCCGCGCGAGCCAGCAGGTTGGCCGCGTCTGCACCCGGGGAGGGCGCTGCCTGCAGTGGCGCCAAGAGGGATAGGATCTCATCCGCCGCCCCCAAGCACGCTGCTTGCGGTTTCTCAGCAAATGTGCTCGGGCGGGATATCGGCATCGACGCACGAGTCGACCGGAGAACACGCGCCAGTGCCTCTAGGCACTCCGACAGTATCCACAGCTGACGCAGGGTCGCCGTGGAACATGAATACTCCGCCTCCTCAAGGCGAGGACGAGGGTCACGATACGGACCCCTTGCTGGGCCTCCGCCAGCGCCAACAAAACCCGGGAGAACAGGCGGCTGCTGGACAGAGCGCTGCGGGGACACCGCACGGTTGGCTACCTCGACAATGGCGGGAAGAGAACGAGGAGCGTCTGGCGGAACGGAGCGACAGGCTGTCGCCGCCTGCGACTCACGGAGAGCAGTTGCGAGCACGTCCGGAAGCCTCTCCAGGGCGCGCGCAAAGTCCGACGCAGACTGGCGACCCCCGCCCCCGCGTCCGCGGCCCCCGCGACTGCCACGCCGCCCACGACTATTCGACCACGAGCGGGCTGGAGATTGGGGCCGGGACGTGCTGCGCGGGCGGAGCGCAGGGGATCGCTCACGACGCGATGGAGAATGGCGCCGCTGGCGCTTCACCGGCGATTCGCGCGGAGAACGGCGAGCAGGAGAGCGACGCCCTGAGGATCGGCGCGCGGGTGAATGACAGCGAGGCGAATGGCGAGATGGGGAACGGTGACTTGGCGAACGACGCCCAGGGGAACGGCTGCGGCTCCCCTGACGACGAGGGGAGCGACGCTCGCGGCGATCTTCACGCCGCCCCTCGCAGCGTTCGTCACGAGGCTCAGGCGTCCGACGACGCGGAGAACGCCCCCGGTGCGGCTCCGCCAAGGCGCCAGAACGCACAGCGGACTCCGCGCGGGTTGCCACTCTCGGAGGCGAATCAGCGACGCGCGGCCCGGGAGGACGGCGCTGGTCCTCAAATCGGCGCCGGATTTGGTCCGCAGCAGCGGGAGGACGAGCAGGAACGCTCACCGCCGGGCGTGGCGGAAGCACAGGTGCACTCTCCGCGGTACACTCGCGGTCGTGGGCGGACGGAAGCGCCATGTGCGCAAGCACAAGGCGCAATTCCAACACAAGGGGAGCCTACAACCCCGACTTTCCCCACGCAACAGGCGGCGCTAGCAGCAGGGACCCCGCAGAGCGGACGGGGAAGCGCGCGGGGGAGAGGATCGCGACGAGGAGCGCGCGGAGGACAGAGGAGCGCAGGTCAAGCGGCGAGGGGGCGCGGGCGCCAACCACCGAGCCCAATCTGGCTAGGGGAGCCGGCGGAACGAATCACGCGGCAGTCGTTCGCTAGGCGCGGGGCGAGAGGTGGTGCACCAGCGCAAGCAGGGAGGAACGTCGATATCATCAGAGAGGCGAGAGACGAGGACTATATACCGTCAGATCTGAGGCAACCAGACAATCCCGACTCACCTCGCGCGGAATCAGGAGAGGAGGTGGCGCAGCAACAGGAGAGAGGAACCAACCGCAGACAGCAGCGCAGAGCCCAGCCCCCACCGGACCAAGCCCTATCTGCGTCCCAGCTGGCCTCGCGGGAGGATCTTTTCCAGATCGCGATGACCTGGGACCTTACGCTCCTAACATCCATCACCCACCAACCAATCGTCCGCCGACTGCCGCCGCAGATCCTCAGCGACTACTCCACCTGTATGCTGGCTGCCTTACTACGGATCTCAAAGCTGCCTAATTGCGCGGGAGCGTGGCGGGTCCTCATGTTCCTGCCACGTCTCACGCTAAGACTTAGCCGGAGATCCAGCTCTAGGTGGAAACTGCTGCGGGCACAGATGCATCTATTCCGATGTGGACACTGGACCCAGCTGTACACCGAATACTTGGGGTCAATGCACCTGGCCGAACCACCTCAGCACCAACGTGACCCGCTGGGAATCTGCTCACGTGCGGAGGGGTTGGTGAAAAGGGGTAACCTGCGAAAGGCGTTAGCGGCCCTTCAACCCTCGCCATCAGCACCGGCGACATTCGCGACACTGCAGCAGCTGGAATCGAAACACCCCCAACCCCAAAATGACCTGCCCGACTGGGTCCACTCCTACACGACACCCACACAATTTTCAACCACCCTGGAAAGCTTTTCGGACGTCCTCGGGGAATGCCCCAGGGGAATTGGGGCTGGCCCATCGGGGTCAACCTTCGAACACTACCGCGATCCAGCGCTAAGTAACATCGAGGTACTAGGGCACCTCCACTCCGCCGTTAAACACCTTCTCTCGACAAACCTTTCCACCGAGGTTGCAGCCCTACTCGCCCCGTCCCGCCTTATAGCCTTCGCCAAACCAGGGGGGGGGGTACGCCCAATCGCGATTGGAGAAACATTGCTTAGGCTGGCGGCGAAAGTGGCACTCTCAGACCTGCAAGGAGAAACGCGAAATTTTTTCCTACCTCAGCAATTTGGCGTGGCAGTCCCGGGAGGTGCTGAGTTCGTCATCCATGCAGTCAGAGACCTCACCACCGTGCAGCCCTCCAGCCTAGTCCTCCAACTCGACAGTGAGAACGCGTTCAACTCAGTCGAGAGGAGCGCGTTCTTCAACGCACTTATC